TGGTTGAGTGATTGTGATTTTGTGAAGTGATTGTGGCAAAATGATTATGGTAAAGTGATTGTGGGTGAAGTGTTTAAGGGGTGAAAGGAATCAAAGAGGGAGGATATTATTCTGTTATAATATCGAACAGATGGGACTTGTAGCAACGGGTTTAAATTTTGGATAAGTTTGGGTTGGGAGAAGGAACTGGTTCACAAACAGGGTAGTGGGACGAGTGGTCAAGCTTACAATCTTTTGTAGTGTTAAGTCACTGAAAGTTGTAAATTCGAGGCTAGATTTGTTCATGGATGATAGAGGTGGTAGTATTTCTGGTGAGCTATGTACAGGTCCTTGCTTGTTGCAGACTCTTGTTCTTGTGGTGGAAGTGATTGTGGTGGGGTGTTGTGGTGATGGTGGTGAATTGTTCTTTTAAATTAAATAAATTCAAATGAATAACACCAAATTATTCACTAGTTATTAAACAATGACTTGGTAGTTGTTTCACGTTGTCGTGGTTCAAACTCTGTAGATCTGTTAGTCACTTGACTAATCAAAACACGCCTCTGCTCACGCTCCTGAGGAGAGGGGCCGGTCTACCAGTTAAGGGGTGAACATGTAACTTAAGTGTTCATTATATAAGGAACCTTGGAGATAATTCACAATACATTCTCTCCCCAAACTAAGTACTGTGTATATAATTTCCAACAATAAAGAAAAAGAGTGTTTTATCTCTGAGCTCCCAGTTAGGTTCCAGTAACTTATTTAAAACAATTAGGATCCTCCTTGAACTTTCCAGCATTCCAGCACTTACTACAAAGTTGCTAAGCTTGTTCCACTCGTCAACCACCCTGTTTGTGATCCAGTTCCTTCCTATCTCCCTCCTAAACCTAAACTTATCCAACTTAAATCCGTTGCTACAAGTCTTATCTTGCTCGGATACTGTAAGAACTTTATCTATATCTCTTTTATTGATTCCTTTCACCCACTTAAATACTTCTATCATATCTCCCCGCACTCTTCGTCTTTCTAGGGAATGCAAGTTTAGTTTATTTAACCTTTCCTGATACGGAAGGTTTCTAAGTCCCGAAATCATTTTCGGCATTCTTCGCTGCACCGACCTCAGTGAATTTATATCCATTCTATAATAAGGGCACCAGAACTGAACCGCATAATGGAGATGCGGCCTGACTAGCGCAAGATATAGTTGCAATAAGACCTCTGCACTCTTATTACTTACACTTCTAGATATAAAACCTAATACCCTGATTGTAATGGCCCATGTTTCATAAACATAAGAATTTTATAAATGGGTTAATTACATTTGATTTATATACTGATTCACCCCCTGTAACTTTCCACTGGCTATGAGGTGACATGTTCAATGCACGTGATAAGGTGTGCCCACGGGAAGCTGCGTCATACTATGCTGAGTAAAGGCATAAAGTAGCCGGCTCCTGGCCACCTAAAGCGGGCAGTAGCTTGATATCCTGACTAGAGGAAGACGTTATTTGAGAGCCGCAGTGGATGGCTCGTCTTCCCTCGAGGGAGGTCGAGGTGTCTATTCCGTTCTCCCTCGATGGGTCACTACTCAGAGTCTCACAACATACAAGTTGATAAAGGTATAAAAAGTAGCACATTATTTATAGAGCATCATAATTGATAAACAATGAAATTATGCTTTGAAAACGAAGCTAAAAGTTCTTAATATACTGGACTGAACTTTAGAGAACAACAAAAATAAAGAGACATTAAAAATTCTGTATGGGATGGAAAACGTGAATCTGGGCCATATTTTTGAGATGTCACGTACCACCGACACATTGGGACATGACTTACGACACAAGCATTGACATAAATGCCCACTTTTACATGATTACTGTTCTAGTGCACCTAAATACTAGTACTGTAATAGACTCAGCTTGTACACCTAATGACATGATGTGAAGTAACAGTTAGTCAGTCTTACCTCCCACAGGTCAGCAGTGTTTCACCAGTTGCCGTCATGTACCTGTATGAGCCTGGACAGTCTGTATAATCGAATCTCAACTTGTCACACAGAGATATGCTGTTGGCCCTTGAAGCATCCTGGAAAACACTGTAAAACTACTGTATTATATTATAGGCAGGGGTTATTAGATCAGTATCTGCCAGAATAACCACTGGTTATTTGACCGGGATCTGAAACTAAATATTTTTGGCCACAGAAAATTCTACAATTAAATAACAGTGTAATGACTAGTTTAATGTCCACAACCATCCTGACTAGAACCCCATTAAAATCATAGACAATCCCCGAGGAAAACCTATTTTTGTTATTTCACTCGTTGCCACAAAACGAATCTCGGGAATTTTATAGTTACAATCTTCAATGACATTTCTGGCACAAATAATGTATAAGCGAGATATTTAACACTTTACTGTATTGTTTGTTCGTACATGGCGGTACACACCCAGGTAAGTTTAGTTTAGTTTACGTTACATTAGGTTAGGTTAAATATAAAACATTTCCCGATAGTTTTTATTTTATTTTTACCTTGATTCTTTTAGCTCTGGTTTATATGAGGAGGAGAGGGAGGGTTTACAAGTGGACAACCAGGTTTATTTAAGTCATTTGAGAGAGAAACGTCATGGAGGAAAAGAGTCTTCATATTATTAATGTTAACTGATATAATACTATGAATAAATGTCTTACCAATGCTTCAGGAGGTTATTTTCAGGGCTGTCAGTCAGATCGTCGTATACTTGATCCTTCCTCTATCTTGGTTCTTTGTCTAGTGGCTGCTGGTGATGGATCCAGAACCACCAGACGAGAAACTCTCCCCTGTACCCCGTGATGAGGGTTTGGTATTGCTGTTAACTCATAGATGGCGCTCACTTCCATATCATTCCTTATTATTTTACATTGAAATTTTAAAACAGTCATTTGAATAATCATCTATTACCATCTGAGTAAGCTATATTAGCATTTAATAGAGTTTTTGATGTGAACTAACTGAAAAATCAGATTCTGTGTTCTATTTGGGACGACTACAGGCTGTTTCAGCGGCGGGATGAAATCACTCTCGGTGAAAGTGGTCAAATCTAGCTTCAGTTGGTAAAACTCCACACCTACGTTGGTCATATGGGCAGCTAAGGATGAACCCGACCGAAGTGGAAAGATTCGGATGAGTTTTGATTGCGAGTTTGGTTAAATAATACACGTATTTGTATAATAAAACCTTAAAGCCCCATTTCTTCCCTCTTCTCGACTTGTCCATGTTCTCATGAACACAAAACTTACATATGGGAAAGATAGGAGTAGGTGCCAAGATTCAGTGTATATGAGATTAGGATATAATTATTATAGGGAACTTGGAGCTGAGAGAAGTGAACAGGATAAAGAATGTAGAGTTTGTAGAACATCCAGATCCCATAACCTGCCACATTATATACTGGAATGCCCATTGCTTAATGTATATAGAAATGTCCATATAAATAATGTCCCCAAGCAAATAGAGTGGATGTATAAAAATAGGAAAATAGATGAAATATTAAAGAAATATATAAATTTTGCATCTAGAATATAACTATGTACTATAACTGATTATATGAAATATTAGGGATTTATGCGAGTCATGAGAGGGACATTCCTGTCCTGGGGTGGGGATGACTGATGTCACTTCATCCCTTTGAGATGTATTAATGTTTTTTTGTATCAATAAACGTATCGATCAATTCTCGACTTTAGACCAACCACGGCTGTAGAGTTTGACCATTCATTTTCTGGGTGTGATTTGAACAATTTTTATAACTTTATTTGGCACTTCCCTCATAACTTTTTTACTGGCATAAATAATTAAGGTTAACTTACGACCTGAATATTGGCAAATACTTTTTCTCTCTAATGAACTTGGGGGACAACTACGTGTTCTCGTTAGATGATCCTTAACCTAACCTCCCAACTAGCTGCTTACACCTACTCGGTAGTTTTGAGTACTGCAAATCTTTCATCTATTTTGTAACTTCCCACCTTGAACGAGGCTTAATTTTAACTGGTTATTGGTTCCCTGCCAAGGAAGTAACACTGAACTTGATATACCTTGCCATGAGGATAATGTACCGTTACCCCACACTAGTTCACCTGGTCCTGTGTGTCCAGGGGCTGTGTTAGGCCACCAGGAACTGTTTGTGGCTACTTGAGATTAAGAGCTATTTGTTCTGAGGGGCTGCATGATGCTCCATGGGGGCTAGTGGGAGACTAGCAGGGGCTGGATAAAGTTGCTAGTAGGGGCTTTTGATGTTATTTGTTGATGCTAGTGACATCCTTTACTCACTAGAGACTGTTACTGGTAGCTGTCATGGGGCTGGTTGAGGCTTGTCTGGTTGAACACTTTACTTAGTAGTGATTGCTGAGACGTGTCGACCAGGTTGGTAGCCTTAGTTAGGTCGCCATTATGACACCTGTGTACAAACCGGTGCCATAAAGGGGGGGGAGGGATCTAACGTAAGGCAGCCTCTCGTGTCATCAATAAATCCTGCAAGAACTTAATTTACACCAAGTAGATATAAAATAAACAATGAAAAATAATTGTTTATTATACATCCAAAGAGCCTCCTAGAGCTATTAAGAGCATATAGAGCCAATGATATGGAGGAAATGATAGTAAAATGAGGGAAAGAATGGAAAATTATTGATAATAGAAGGATAAGGGAGGGAATTGAGGTATAAAGAGTGGCAAAATATAGGGAAGGAAGAGGGGTAAATGGAGCTCGGGTTTGCACCAGGTAACTACTATAATAGTCGTCGTCTCCTTTCAACACAAGCAGTAAAGGTCATAAAGAACAAATTAACTACAGACAGTACAGAGATGTGTGTGTCAGCCGGAACAATTAGTACAGAGCTCTTTCGGGAATGACAGATTTACGGGTAACGAAACGACTCCCCCCACCCCGGGATTTCCTGGGTATCAGAGTTTTGGGTTTGAGGGATTCCGGCTAATGGAGATATTACTGATTTTCAATATGGGTCAATTAATACAAAATAAATTACAATCACTTTATTAAATTCAACAGAGCAGTTCCCTTCAGTACATTAAGATCTTATTTCAACTGATTATCTACACCTGTTGTAATAAATCCTATTTTATTATAAATGTTGCAATAAATTATTCTTTACAGGTTTGGTACAGACAGTCCCTGAGTTACGACCGCTCCAGCGACTTATCAACCACACTTATCAACGGGATCCCAATACATTCATTTAAAAAAAATTTAATTAAAATCCCCCCCTTTTTTTTTTACATAATTTTCATTATTCTATACTGTTTACCATCACTTTATTTACAATATTTATGTCTGGGATGTTTTGTATGGGCAAGGTTGTGCTTTAAACTAACCTAAAACTGTGGAATTAATGCTCTTGTGAACAGATCAAGTTACTATCAGGGCCCAGGAACGTATCCGTGTTGTAAGCCTGTATTTACAACTGACTCGGGCAACACACCATAACTAAAGCTTAGGTCTATTGGAACCCTTGAAGAGATCACGATATTTGCCCACTCCAAGGCGCTGTCTCTTCAAGTCCCGCCTCTCCCACGATGACAGGTCTCGGTGGATAGGCTGGGCGGCAGGGAAGGGGACCACGGGGGGTTCCGGCTCCAAGGGGTTTAATCCTTTAAGTCGCTGGAGTAAGATTTCTTTACTGATTTCTTTAGGGTCGCGGTGTAAGTCCAGGTACCTGTAGGATGGGGGTTCATGATAGACCCATTTATTTGTGTGGAGAATCTAGAGTTAAAGATCACATGAAGAACAGACACCCGAGCTTATTTCACCTGATAACGGAGTGTACGCTAGACCCTCTCTTTATGCGGCGACCCGATTTCTACCCACAATAACGACATTCTGAGTTAAGCTCTGAAGATTTATGCTCGTCTGTGTAACGAAGAATGTGGTGCTGAAATTGTTAGTGAATCTTTTAATGCCAGTAAAGGCTGGTTTGTTATATGTCACAATCTACATAACTGTACGTTGGGAACGAGAGTGCCGACCACGTTGCAGCTTCCAAATATCCAGAGGAACTTGAGAACATTACTAAAGAATATGGTTTCACTCCTAAGCAAATCTTTAATGCTGATGAAACAAAACTTTTTTGGGAAGAGTATGTCTAAGAGGACATACATCAGCAAAGAGGAGAACACTGTCCCAGGGTGTAAGGCAGCAAAGTACAGGCCGACACAGCTGCTGCTGTGTGGCAACGCAGACAAAGATTGCAAGATGAAGCCTCTACTACTTTACCACTCACCTAACCTACGTGCTCTGAAGAGTCTCGGCAAAAAAGGTTAAACGTTACTGGGCTGCTAACAAGAAAGCCTGGGTGACCAGACAAATGTTTGAGAGTTGGTTCACCGATCACTTGGCCGTGGAAGCTGAACGTTATTGCCGGGAACCTAACCTGACGTTCAAGGTCCTTCTACCACTGATCCTGGCCATCTGGACATGATCCATCCCAACGGTACCGTCCGTCACCTAACACTACGCCTCTGATCCAGCGAGTGATTCCCACGTTTAAGGTTGTCTACCTACGCAGGACCATCTCACAGGTGATCGAGACTACAGACGACTTGAAATATCCAGGGAGTAAGCCAACAACATGAGAATGGTGGAAATCATTCAATGTTAAATGTGTCAATAACAACATTGACAAAATCTTGGAAAGAAATTAAGTCATCAACTCTCAATGCATCCTGGCAGTCACTCTGGCTGGAGTGTGTGTACACCTTCACTGGATTCCCTTCCTTTGGTGCAACTGTGCAAGACTGTGTGGGTGGTGAAGGGCACAGGAGATGATGAAGCAGATGGAGGACGACATTATTCTGGAGGTGAGGGAGATGATGAAGCAGATGGAGGACGACATTATTCTGGAGGTGAGGGAGATGATGAAGCAGATGGAGGACGACATTATTCTGGAGGTGAGGGAGATGATGAAGCAGATGGAGGACGACATTATTCTGGAGGTGAGGGAGATGATGAAGCAGATGGATTATTCTGGAGGTGAGGGAGATGATGAAGCAGATGGATGAAGGTGAGGGAGATGATGAAGCAGATGGATGAAGGTGAGGGAGATGATGAAGCAGATGGATGAATTTGTCAAGTTTGCTGATCAACTCACACAGTGTGACCCGGACCATAGTTTAGTCAACACTTCAGCCGTAGGTCTGTCCTTACACCCTACAAACAACTTTATGCTCAGGAACAACTAGCTGCAAAACAGACCACTGTCACCCAGTACTTCAGGCCCTCGTCAACCACTCCACGCCGGGAGCATCACCTTCACCTGCTCTGAGTTTTGAGGATGACATGAACCGACCTGAGAGTTGTGTTACCTTACCCGACCTTCCTTCGGCACCACAACAACCTACACTGAGGAAAACATCTCCGACGACCACCCAGATGATCCACACCGTTAACATCATCTTTGTAGCTCCACCACGTCTGCCTTTGTGAGAATATCTCTTTGCCGTATCTCTTAATAAATGGTTTTGAAGAGAGTGGACTCCTCAATTATCAGGAGGCTCAAGACCACAGCCACCACCACAAACACACGTACACCCCTTTACATCCTCACACACACACACACTTATGTTCTATATTCGTCTTATTTTATATTATCATTATTTCTAACCCACATTAGAATATTTTAATTATTTTTCCACAATTTTATAGCATTAATGTTGACTTTTAGTAGTTGTGGAACATATCCTAATTTTCCCCATCAGATTAAGTATTAGTGTGGATTCCCATTTTGCTGTGTAATCGCAGAACACAACAAAAGGCATAAAGCGAGGGTCGGGTATTGCTAGCCCAATCTAACACTTAACCTAATGTAATCTAACATAACCTAATCTAATGTACCAATAACCAACAATAACTTAACCTAATGTAATATACTCAAACACACAAAGGGAAAAGTTAACATTACATACAAATATAATTACCTAGACAAGAAGTTTACACACAAGCAAATACTATACAGGGTGTGTCATAGGTCATGCACACACACACACACACACATATACAGGGTGTGTCATAAGTCATACACACACACATACGACACGAAAATACGTACGTGTTGAATTGTCTTCTGTGGGGGAAGTGCTTCTGGGGTGCTAGATAGGGCTCGGGGAATTGATACTCGTAAACCGGTTCCCTCATATCTGAAACGAAGACAATGATAAGACGAAGAAGAAACAGAACTAAACGTCATAATTTTGAGGGTTTCAGGAACAATATGGCTGCCTACTGTCAAAAATCAAGGGAGGGGAGGGGGAGCTATGAAGGGGTTGGTTGGTACTTCAATTCCCTGTTTACAAATGGTTTAAGACTGAAAAGGTATGTGATCTGAAGATTAAGCCCCCCACGTGCTCACCTGAAGATTAGGCCCCCCCCAAGTGCTCACCTGAAGATTAGGCCCAGTGTCATCAAAGAGTGATAACACTGGCTCAGACGACATAGTGCTGACTGGCTCTACAAAATTCCGTGCAGAAAGCTACATTCCATAAGTCAACCGTCTATCCAAAACTAATGAAGACCGATGCAGTCCTCACACAGATGTTACTAAAACCTCCAGGTGCATATTTCTGCTTCCATCAAACGATTCTCTGCCAGAATGATCAGTTGCAGATCTCATGGCTGCCTAACGAGTGATTTGGCAGAAGACTTATGCAGAATTTGAACAGTTTTGTCACTTTCCTATTGACTTGATAAAAATATTCCGAGTCCTGCCCCAAGGAGAGTCAGCACTACTGCCCTCCTTCAGGTTGTCTAAACATTCCACAGTACCTGATCTACAGTTAATCTATATGTTGACTCTATGTTTCTTATGTTTCTGTATTGAGAGCTTTTATCAATCAAGTGACCCACTCCACTATTTCACCATATGTAACCATTAATTATTATTATTATTATTAATACAGGTAAAGGAAATTACTGTCTAGAACAAATGGCTCCCTGTCCCAGCCGCCAAAATGCCGGCAACTTTAAAACTACCCGCAGACATTCTTGGGTACATCCAGGGTGTCATCCGTGAATGATAGTCAGTGAAATAAAAATCCGCAAATTATCCGGTCGTACTGTACAACTTTACTGATTATGGCAGGTTATTGTGGCCCAAAAGTTGGGTATTGAGGTGAGACATAAGACAGGGGGCATACTGCCTCTATAACTGGGGAGGGTTAGTGCCCCACATACTCCAAGTGATCAAGGTTTACTGGAGTTCTCCATGGTCACTAAATGAACCTTCTCTCTACAGCACTAACTAACTGTAGAAATAATTAACTGTACAACTCACTAACTAACTGTATAACCAACTAACTGTACAAACAACTAAGAACTTACTCAGAGTGTGATGAAAGAAGTGAGTGAGGGAAGAGTCCCAGTCTGTCTGGTACCACGAGAGGCCGGCCGGTGTGAGGTGGTCCTGCTGCTCCCTGTAGAAGGTGGACGTGGAGAAGCTTCTGTCCTTCAGCGACACACTGTCAGGGAGGATGAAGGAGCTTGTGAAGGTTCAGTGTGATTTATTTGTACATAATATTAGCCTCTGCTGTCCATTACGGGAACTAGTTGAGGATATTACTATTAAAATACAAGACGGAAAAAATATTTGGGTGGATTCTTTAAAAACAATGGCTAGTCGTACAAGAACACATAAACTATTTGACAAAATGACAGGTCACGTACACAGACAAAATATCTCTCCTGCAAAAATCCTTGTAGTCAGAACAAACAAATGTTTACCAAGATCATCCGAGAAAGTGATGCTACTGTAACACTATGTTTTGTGAGGAGTCAGATCATTACAAAGAGCCTTAAACCTTTTATTGATGGTGAGATGATACAAGAACACTTGACTGTAGTATCTGAAATATTGTGTCCTGAGAAAATTAAACAGAGAAAATATAATTGTCTCTCTGTTTACCGTTGGTCGGGGAACTGACAGTTTTAGGGATGATTCTGAGCAGTTAATAGCCAAGCAAACATCTGCTACTTGGGTTTACTCAGTGGCACCTGATGAAAGCGACATCTGTGTTAGCTGGGAAATTACCGATGCAGCTCCGGCAATGGCTGGGTTAAGCAACGGCCCGGTCGACTGGTTTAGTTAAAGGTCAAATTAAATCTCAGAATATTGATTCACCTTCACTAACTGTTTGCCATTTTATCATACATCAAGAAACTTTATATGCAAAAACACCCAAGCATCAACACGTAAAAACAATCAACTTTATCAAGTCGAAAGGTCTTAATCTCCATCAGCTTCAACAGTTGCTGGTGGACACTGAAGCAGTTTGGTGATGTGGAATACTTTTGTCAGGTCCAGTGACTAAGTAGAGCTGGAATGCTGAGGAGAGATTATGATCTTTTGGGGAAATTGTTTTGTTTTTAGATATAAAGGATAAGTGTGTCCCAGAACTGACCAATAAGGAATGAATCTGTGATGTAGCATTTCTGGTGGACATCACTCAATATCTCTGGGAGTCACAAATCATAAAGCACAATACAGCCCATTTCCCAACTCTCAACAAGTATGAAATTAAGGATGAGCAGTTTTAAAAGTACATTGATAAATTGACAGTGTTGCAGAATGAGCTCTCAGGACATGATACACCCATGCACTAGCAATGGAATTATCCGCTACACCTTTCACTGTGGATGAAGAAACTGTTCCAGAGATGCATCAGATGGGCGTGATCAACCTCCAACGGAACAATGAACCAAAGACGAAATATATTGAAGTTACCGCCCCACAGGAAGTTGATAAGAATTATTTACCAAGTGCACATTATCCACAACTTTCTGCCCCCACACACGAAATTTTTTACAAGTGTTTGGAAGTCCAGTACAGAGTAAGGTCGTCTATTACTGACGTACACCCACTAAACTCCCCCCCCGCCCCCGCCTTCATGTTGCTAAGTCTTTCCTCCAGCCAATCAAGTCACCCATCCCATTAACAACTCATCATAGTCAACACACAGTAAGTATTTTGTCTTTTGGGCTTTAAATTTATCGTTAATTTTGAATAATAAAATCAATATAATGAGCGTATGGCCCATCATGCACCAGATGATTTTATCGTGGCCCTATATTATGGCCTTCTATTATGGTCTTATATTATGGCCTTCTGTGCAAAAAAGTTAACTCTCCTCTGCTCTAGACTACATAGTGAGGATAATAGTGAGGATAGTGAGGATAACAGTGAGGATAGTAACCCACAGCCTCGACGTACACAAGACCTCCTAAGCCATCGCCAACCTACATGACATAATCCACCTTCTATACACTCACCACGGCTGTTCTCTGGTGTACCGGCTGTAGTCAATGTGTCTCTCTTGTTTATAGAGCACGAACACAAGGCGGTGATATCCAGTACCTCTCGGGGGGAAGGGCTGCAGGTAGTTACACACGACGTCTCCCGAAGTGAGGTCATTGCCTTGGATATTCCCACTGTGAAGTATAGGACATTATCTATGTGTGTAGTTCAATGCTAATACTTATTTAATTAACTGTATTTCTCTGTATTTGTGGTGAGGTGAATTGTATTTCTTGAAGTATTAAATCTTCTGTGAGTTATTTTTGTATAGAAATTCAACAGCCGTGAAATATTGAACTGATTATTTACAATTATGTGTGTTGGTGAGTTCTGTTACCTGGTGATATGGTGAGGCTGGTGAGGATGGTAAAGTCTGATCAGTTGTATGAGTCACTAGTGGCTGGAGGAAGTATAGGGACCTGCTGCCTTTATTGGTAGCAAGAGGACCTTCTCTCTGAGTGAATGGAAAGATCTACGTGGCTGGTGTGAGGAGTGTAAGGTTGTGTGGCAGTGAAACATAAGCAGTTAAAGAGGATGATGTACACAGACTTGAACAATCTGAAATAGGAATAGTGAGGTGGATGTGTGATGTAACACTGTGAGAGGAGGTCCTGTTGAGAGTGGCTGAGTACTGAGAGTGTTGGTGAAGCTCTGAGTAGAGGCAGACTGAGATGGTTGAGGAGACTAACTGGGTCAAGGGATGCAGGAGTAGGAGAGCCAGGGGCAGGTCAACAAGTACAGGGGGAGAGGTTGTAAGAAGAGTTAGGAGCCTGACAAGAGAGACTACAAGAGCCACGAAGAGCTGCCATCAGTAAAACAACAACACTTAGACTCACATAAACCAGTGGAGACATTCTGCTTCATTATCCAACAAGTTACCATCAGGGTTTGAGAGGATTAGCGTCCACAGGTCACCCGGCTCACTCCTAAACTGCACACTGGGTTCGCGAGCTGCCTGAAACACCACAAACACACACTAGTCATACTCTACTGTACGTGTCATCACTATCTACACGGGAGGACTTTAATCCTATCTAAATAGACTTGAAATATTGATCAAATGAGATAGTCTGTACAGTGCTTAACCCTTAACAGTGGCTAAAGATTCCCAGACCTTCCCTCTTAGGTACAGAAATGAAACACAAGAAGCAAGAAACTTCCACTGATGATGACCACCGTCCCTACAGTTAACTACCACTGATGATGACCACCGTCCCTACAGCTAACTACCACTGATGATGACCACCGTCCCTACAGCTAACTACTACTGATGATGACCACCGTCCCTACAGCTATCTACTACTGATGATGACCACCGTCCCTACAGCTAACTACCACTGATGATGACCACCGTCCCTACAGCTAACTACCACTGATGATGACCACCGTCCCTACAGCTAACCTAACCCCAGACCAAGATAATACCGCACCTCTCCCGGCTTGATGGTGTTTCCCCTGTGGACCGGAGACACAGTGTGATCGTCTAAGTCGTAGGTTATCCCGAGGGCGACGTACGGTACAAAGTATGCACTGCCGTAGAGGTCCCTGAAGATCCCGTAGTGTTCCGCCAGCGTCTTAACGTGGTGAGGGCCGGATGACGCCTCCCAGACCTCCTTCACCTTGTCTATATCTACGGTCACTGGAAAATTAATCGTTATTGATTTATTACCTTACCTAACTTGACCTAACCTGACCTTACTTGACCTAACACTACCTAAGGGGGGGGGGGGGTTAAGTTAGGGTGTATAATCCATCAAGTGAAATAAGCAAGGGTTCCTAATCTACTTAAGATCCTAAAAAAAAGTATCAGCCAATGAAAGATTTTTTTTTTTTTAATAGATAATAAACTGTACATTAAAGTCCGTAAGATTAAACCTGACATTTCCCGCAGCAAGTAAACAAAAAGTTCGGGGAATAACACATCAACGACTCAGACAAGTGTGATAAGCAACATGACTGATATTATTATTATTATTCTAAAATTTGCAGTGTCCATATTATCTCAGAATTTATGAGCAGAGAGCCACCCAGGTGTTATTCCGAGTTACCTTGTGTTCGTATGTCTGTTTGGGTGACGTATATCGTGACTTTCAGCAGCCAATAGACGAACAGTATGGCCAACGAAACTTGACTACATCCGTCAATTAGATTTCAATATTAATCTTCGGTGAATTAACAAATATATCGAACTTACAGTTAAGTCTCCCATGGTAGTCCTGTGTGCTGGCTGTACCATTATTAAATTAAAATTCAGAACCTATTAAAATTTTCTAATTATAAAAAAAGCTTCCTGTGAACTCTCAAAAAATGAACTTATCGCTGGGGTGTCAAATGTGACGCTGGCAACGAAGAAATGGACTCGGATTATCAAGGAAGACGGGCTGAAAAAATCAACAGGGGTAGGAAGGTTAAAATTTCTGACATACTTGAATCCTCACAGTCACAGGTCAGTGGAATTTTCTTTGCAAATACAAATGCAAATCGACCAGTGCCGGCAAATAAAGTGAGGAAAATGTGTCTGACTGCCAATATGAAAGAAAGGAACCATGAGGAATTAACAAAGACTGCCAGACTGAGGGAAGTTATGCATACCATGATTACTCTGACTCAGGAATAGGAATCAGTGGTGAGTTCTCAGCTAGACTTGTAATATTACTGAAGGGAACCCTGACGTACAGAGGTGCTAGTTAATGAACACTGTGTTGTGGACGTCCCCGGGCAAGAAACTCGTGAGGAAGGAGAAAGTGTTTCATTCAGTCCACAGAATTTAACTTTGAGCATTGACAAAGATGAATCTGATAAGTCTACAAATTACTCACAAAATATGAAATCTTGTAACAAGGATTCATCCACAATGACTTTAGATAAACCCAAACAACCGATACTTAACCAATACGATCCAGAGAAATTTGGAAAACGAGACATTTTATAGAGATTTCAAACCTGACTTGTCCCAATGGCATCCTTGGATCAAGCTATGACGGTGAGAAAAAATGGAAGAAAACTGACATGCACAGGGTCGGCATCAATGACAAAAGTGGGTAAATATCAAAAGAAATAAAAAGCAACGAACTTCAGCGATCCTTGAGCCAGCTGATGAGCAGTAAGTGGTGCAGAACAGAGAGCACCTTCAGGTAACTACTGGATGAGTTATGTATATTGCTCTTAAAGATCATGAGGAGAATACATAAAACATAGGGGAAACTTCTGACATAAATAGAGGTAACTTCTTAGAATTGCTACACTTCCCAGATGTAATAAGCTACCTTAGTTAAATATAAAAGTCATCTGGAGGAACACACCTGTGGACAACACCTGTTAGCCAAAATTAGTCGCTAGAAATCATGGCAAGTCTTGTTCTTGAACCAATTACATCTGATGAACAAAGTAGTGGACAATATGCAGTTATGTTGGATGAAATATAACACATTACCAGGACAGTGTTAGTGTTTGAGGTACTGTATGTGTTTTAAGAGTCACCTATGGAAACCTTTGCTGGGCTCTATCCATCTGCGTACTGAAGGTGAAACTCTATATGAATTACCAAAGTGAAAGGTGGCATCAAAAAACTTAATTTGGAGATGAAGAACATTGTTGGTGAATGTTTTGCCAGCTATGAGATGTAAGATAAAAGAATTTCCTGTATGGATGAAGACTTGCCAGCTATGAGAGGTAAGATAAAAGAATTTCCTGTATAGATGAAGACTTGCTCTCCACTTGGTAATTAAATCATTACTATGGGTCATCTCCTCAACCTGCCAAGCCATGATACAATGACAGATACTGAACCTCTCCCACTTGGAACAACATAGAGTCTGGCATTGAGGTTAAGGATAATGACGTCAACCTCAAGCTGAAATTAGTAAGTGTGACTAGATGATTGTGTCCCTGAGAGATATCACTGATCAAATGCCTAAAATCACCAGGAGTCTTGTTACCTTATAAGATGATTGCAGCCCCAGCACCTATTCAAAAGCTCTACTACAGACAGTATGTGACTATGAATTTGTATTCGATCTAACTTCACTGAACGTTATCTTACTAAATACAACCAGTCTGTGTAAGTATCCACAGGGTGAGAACATTGACGGTGGTGAAGCTCGGAGGACTGCTATGTCAACAATAAAAACAGTGAATGTCGAGATCAAGAAGGAAATAGATGACACAAAGAGCCGGGCCCTGCAAGCACTCATCGGGGAGTCACCGGACGTTCCCTAAGTTCAGAGTGCCGAGGACTACTGCCACGTCACAATTTATTATCGAACCCTTGACAAAGTTATTGGGGAGATGAACCTGTGTTTGACCAGGAGGTTCTGTGTGCTCTTAGTGGTTTTATATTGAGCTCTTTATTACCTTACCCTTTAGCCTTGATATTATCTGCATAGTCTACTCACCAGACACAGAAATTCTTGATACTGGGAAAAAGACATTTAATAATTTTCTGCCTGAGAACCTCGGAAAAAGATATTTAATAATTTTCTGCCTGAGAACCTCGGAAAAAGATATTTAATAATTTTCTGCCTGAGAACCTCGGAAAAAGATATTTAATAATTTTCTGCCCGAGAACCTCGGAAAATGATATTTAATAATTTTCTGCCCGAGAACCTCGGAAAAAGATATTTAATAATTTTCTGCCCGAGAACCTCGGAAAAAGATATTTAATAATTTTCTGCCTGAAAACCTATAAGGAAATGCTGATGCCAGTATAGAGTTTATGTACCAACACCAACTGAATGACACAGCTGTACAGAACTGCTACAATCCCAGACACCAGAGATGACCCGTATAGTAACATCACCATCTTGAACAGTGAGCGTACCTCTACCACAGAGTAACTAACAATAACATGAACAGGATTATTGTTATATTTACCCAAAGGAAGAACAGGTTATCACGCTTAAGTTGTCTTTACTGTCACATGTAAATAATTAAGGATTTTATTTTTTTATGAAGAATTGTTTGTTTTCTTGTTAAATAAAGTTGTCAGTAAAACATTATGGATTTCTTACTAGTCTAATTCTTCACATAACAGAAGGTAACTGACTATAATATTAATATACTGTAGTGCATTACCATAAAAAGTGAAGGGGGCTTAATCTTCATGGGGGGCACTGGGGGGATAATCTACAGGTAATCCAAAAAGGTCAAAATTACAAATGACCTCGTTTGAGTGCTGAACTACACCCCTGATCGTTATTATATGAAACGATCAGTAAACTACATTACTCGTGGGCAATCTCTAAGTAAAGTCAAGAATTTAATAGAGTTTTTCAATAAGATAAATATTACCCCAAACAAAGTCACTTACGGTCGCCTCTACGGGATCGCTGTTGTAATGATTCATTTTCTTTTAGTGATTTTCTGTGCTGGAGTCTCGTGTGCAGCTGCTCTCTGCGGGACGGTTTAGGGCGTGTGAAGCCAATGTTAACGGGAGCGTACAGCCCGGGGTCGTCTCTGGTCTGGTCCAACTCTGTAAGATATATAATCATGTTAAAACTGTATGAATGTTGTATGAGAGGATGAACACACTACACTTGGATGATCACTAACAGGGTGATCGGCTGTTTTATGAGATTTAACTTAACCTAAACATAATCTAACTTAATCTAACCTATACATAACATAACCAAATCTAACCTAAGCATAATCTGACTTAATGTACCCTAACATAAACTAACCTAACTTAAACTATCCTATACATAACCTGACCTGACCTGAACCTGACCTGACCTGACCTAACCTAACCCAAACTCACCAAACAATCCCCCCAAAATGATAACACCGAGAGGTAGAGCGGCAATGTGCGTACCTCTCACCAATATGTCATGCGTCCAAGCCTCGGCCCAGACACATAGGGGTGTTATCCAGTATGACTCACTACCAAACATCACAGGTTTCCCACACTCTAGTTCCCTCCTGTACTAACACTAGATAGACCACCGACCCAAATGTCTCTTAACTGATAAATGGTAAAAAAATTATAAAAAATAACTTATATATTAATGAAAAATAAAAATAATTAGGTAAACAAATAATTTTTTCCAATTTACATTTTGTCTTTAAGTTTTCCCATATATAATAAAGTTCCACGTCACCAGCCTACACGAGGATGCCATCTACTGTGCCAGGAGAGTCGGAATGTTTCTTAGACATTAATGATACTGTTATGTTTCATTCACACTAAGAAATAATGCTGTTACGATAGTGTGCAGTCTACCAAGAGTTAAGTTAGGTTAGGTTAGGTTAGGTTAGGTCAGGTTAGGTTAGGTTAGGTTAGGTTAGGTTAGGTTAGGTTAGGTCAGGTTCAAGTAAATGTCGTCTCTTTTATAACACTAACGAACATCTGTGGGAAACATGAACAAAATGGAACAACTTCTGGTGGTACCTTAGAGATGTTCTCAGACATTACCGACAATTTTACTGAATATTCACCTACTGTACCTCCCAACTTCTCTACGGTAATATTGCAGTAAATAACAACCACACAATCCCGGCAATTTACAACACGAAGTCGATAGAGCTATTTTTTCTATGATCATTTTCTTATATTACGCTTCTGTCACAAATTGATAATAAGGAGGTCATAGAATTTTATAAAGAATAAAATCATATCACCTGTTGCCCCTACGCTGTTGCTCAAATTGTGTGTGTTCGTACGTTCGCTTACCTCCCGCGCATGTGCCGGGGGGCCGCAGCCAATCAAATCCACCTAAAAATCTTAACTTTTGATTCAACCAATAAGCATTCAATTTTCAGCGTGGGTGCCAGGATGCGAAACATTTTTAATCAGTTACGACATGGAGCCATAACTTGCTGGGTGTGATTTCGATTATTGGAAGTTTATTGTATTATTTCATTCTAAAAATAAGGAAACTTTAGAGAACAGAGGAACCCATAATTCATTCTGATCCCTGACTCACTCTAACCCTGACCCTTGTGGAGGCTGACCACGCGACACTAGGGTGACTACATAGCATTTGAGGGTCTGGGGGGCTAGGGAAGGTTTAGTTTGATTATATTGCATAAGTTAACAAGCACAGAGTACCGGGAATTCAGAACACACAATCGATAGAACTATTATAAGAGGAGGGTGGTGGTGAGGGGGGTAAATTTAAAACGAGTGATTTCCAATAAAAACCATCAGAAAAAAACAAATATTTCTAATCATATTCTTTGGTTACTGTAATGTACAATTTTACTTTCTCTACTACCTATCTATAAACATAAGAATGGAGGAAACAGCAGCGGGTCTATACTGGTCAGTCCCGTTTACACCCAACCCCTATCACCATAAGACATCCCCCATTGACCCTCTTACCTTCAAGCCGTTCCCTAAGAGATGGATAAACGTTCACTTTAATCTTATTCTGCCAGACAGATCTAAATGGCTGGAAAAGAGGAGTTTTATGGCTGGTTAAGAGGAGACGGGTCATCCTCACCACCGCCATCTTTGTTTATGTCTGACATGTAAACAAACCCACCAACCGAGTCCTTATAAAGGGGTCTCAACACGGCCTATTTCCTTATAAAGGGGTCTGAACACGGCCTATTTCCTATAAAGGGGTCTGAACACGGCCTATTTCCTTATAAAGGGGTCTGAACACGGCCTATTTCCTTATAAAGGGGTCTGAACACAACCCTAACTTTCCTGTAAAGGGGTCTGGAGCAAAGCCTATTTCCTGTAAAGGGGTTTGAACACAACCTATTTCCTTGCCAAAGAGTTCTAGACTGACTTCTTTTCATATAAGAGGGGTCTAGACACGGCCTATTTCTATGAGGGGTCTGAACACAGCCTATTTCCTGTAAATTCTGAACACAGCCTATTTCGCCCATAAAGGGTCTGAACACAGCCTAGCTATAGGGGTCTGGCAGCCCTATTTCACTACTTAGGGGTTTGAACAGCCTATTCCTTGTAAGGGGTCTGAACCTGACCTATTTCCTTATAAAGGGGTTCTGAACACGGCCTATTTCCTATAAAGGGGTCTGAACACGGCCTATTTCCTATAAAGGGGTCTGAACACGGCCTATTTCCTATAAAGGGGTCTCAACACGGCCTATTTCCCTTATATATTTGAATTAATTTTTTTTTAAGATTATTCTATATTATTCTGGTATATTAGTATTATTTATTTTATTTGTTTGTTAGGCATGGGATAGATTTGTATGAGGTTTACATATTACACGGCCTATATATTATAATTCCTTATATATCTTTTGTTGGGCAAGTGAGATATTTGTTTTTTTAATTTTCTAACGAAGATATAGATTTATTCTGGCTATTCCTCTAAAATAATATACTTTTAGTACCAGAAATATGAAACCTAATATTATAAGGATGATCCACTGTTAAGGGCTAACCTAACTTGCCCTAATTACCACTCGTTTTAACACCATCCACGACTTTTTTGGAGGAAGTTATGTGTTTTTTCCCGTTTATTTTGATGTGTGTTGAATGGACTTCATATTAATATAAAGAGTAAGTTCATGAAAACCTCGCCAACCTAAATTGTATAATAGAAACTCAAAACAAGAACCAATCCAAACCTATTGAGCTACACTATACTGCACTACACTGCTACACTATACTGCACTACACTGCTACACCATACTTCACTACACTGCTACACTATACTGCACTACACTGCTACACCATACTTCACTATACTGCACTACACTGCTACACTATACTGCACTACACTGCTACACTATACTGTACTACACTGCTACACTATACTGCACTACACTGCTACACCATACTTCACTACACTGCTACACTATACTGCACCATACTCACACTGCTACACTATACCACACTGCTACACACTACACACACACACACACTGCACACACCATATACACACCCTGCACTACACTGCTGCCTTCTACACTACACTGCTACACTATACGGCACTACACTGCTACACTATACTGTACTACACTGCTACACCATACTGCACTACACTGCTACACCATACTGCACTACACTGCTACACCATACTGCACTACACTGCTACACCATACTGCACTACACTGCTACACCATACTGCACTACATTAATTTAACAAAAATCTTTATATATAAAAAAATATAAAAATTCTCCCACAAATTCTTCAAAAAATTAAATATGAGCTAAATTGTTATAAAATACATTATATTGAATTCCACCAATTGGTAATATATTGATTAATGTTAAGTCAGCAGTCATACACTCAGACAAATAGAGCAACACTTGATCACTATGAAAATATTAATATAAAATACTGATTATACTTTTGCTTCCACTATTCACAAGTTATTTATTAATAATTTCTTAATATATACCTACAACAACTTTATAAGCTATAAAACGATAAACTCGCCATATTAACTAAATATAATTATATTATTAATTAATAGTATATACCTTCTTAACTAAGTGTCCAGTACCACTATTATACTTCACAATAAGTCAGTGTGTGTACTATAATAATGCTTCATAGTCAGTGTGTGTACTATAATAATGCTTCACAATAAGTCAGTGTGTATACTATAATGCTTCATAGTAAAGTCAGTGTACTCGTATAATGAAGACACAACTACTTACCACAACTTCCCATCACAACCAGACCTACAGCCTCACCAAATGATAACTTATCTAAATTGTAAGATATTGTTCATAAATGTCTCGCCGCTGAGTTTGGTTTATGTTATCGTGAATATTTATATTACTGGATGTACTTTGTATCTTATACGATAATTATAACGATATATAATTTATTGGTGGTTTATTAAATAGTTAATATACGAGTGTAAGTGGTGTAATAGTTCCCAGTTCTAATAGGCCTCAGTACTAGCTCTAATAGGCCTCAGTACTAGCTCTAATAGGCCTCAGTACTAGCTCTAATAGGCCTCAATACTAGCTCTAATAGGCCCCAGTTCTAATAGGTTTAGTAGGAGGGCCAAGTCTTAATAAACGCAAGATATAACACACACACACACACACACACACTGTTAACTGATTGGACTTGGCATAGCGACATAATTTTGCTTACGACACCTGAGGATTTTGAGGAGGGAGGGAGGGAGGGGGGATATGGAAGCAAGAAGGAAGGGAGGGAAGGAGGAAGAGAGGGAACCATCCTTATCAACAACAATGAGTCAGACAAACACAGATAACGACCCTTGATACTAATACCGTACTGTTATTGGTTAGAGTAGTTAGATTATGTTACACTTCCCCTCCTACCCACCCAACCTCTCCTGACATATTTATATAAGCAACATGCTATCTTCACTTGTTAGGGTCACTGGATGGACTCTCATTAACATTATCATACCCTGAATGATTTCATAAATGCTTCGTCTGTTGTTTCATAAGTCAAGAGGTGTATATATAGGCGTGGTAGATCAGCAAATCGACATTCTGTGTACTGAGGACTTCATCTTACCTCCCAACCGTGGACTACCTTCACTATCATCCTATTTACAAGTTCAACTGAGACTTTCAAAGTAAGTTTTATACATAATTTCTTTTATAACTAAATATTTTCCAAGAAACTTTTATAGGAAAATATTACGTAGAAAACTCTAGTATTTGTTATTTTATCAAGTTACTTAATTCATCTAACTTGTTAACATACTACCATTACTACTACTACATGTGATCCAAAACCATGATAATTTCAATTAAGTTATTTTGGAACACATACAACACAACACCACACTTTTAATTATTTTTTTTTTTACATTTACTTTTATCCTCTTCGCCACTGATCGGCTCAAGGGTCGTTAGACACTTGGGCGGGCGGTCACGTCTCTGTTACACACTGTTGGCAAGTATTGGGCATGTACTGGCTCTGTTACTCACTGTTGGCAAGTATTGGGCATGTACTGGCTCTGTTACTCACTGTTGGCAAGTATTGGGCATGTACTGGCTCTGTTACTCACTGTTGACAAGTACTGGGCATGTACTGGCTCTGTTACTCACTGTTGACAAGTACTGGGCATGTACTGGCTCTGAATGTACCTGAACCTGCTCCAGTGTTGGTCAAGTCTGGTCTTGAAACAGCTCACACTCGGTGCCGTCACAACACTCTCTGGCAGGTTGTTCCAACAGTTCACAATTCTCACTCCGAAAAAGTTTGCCCTCACAGTTTTCTGGACTTGTGGCTTCTTCAACCTTGAGCTGTGACCCCTTGTGGGGCGAGCGTCCGCCAGCTCCAGGTCAGGACACTCGACCGAGTAGTGCCCTTTGAGATGTTTATACACCTCAACTAGGTTCCCCCTTGCCCGTCTGTAGTATAAGCTAGGCAAGTTGCAGGCGTTCCAATCTCTCACCAGGATGGTTCCTGCACTATTGCACCTCGGTTACCTTTGTACATTTTCAATCAAGTGACAGTCCCTAGCATATGTCGGGGACCAGACGGGGAAGCACCTCACCCTTGAAGAGCATTACGACCTCTTCACAAGATCTACTGGTTTAATTGCTCGAGTCACCTCATCACACAAGACACCTTACAACATAATTCACGTACTTTTATCAAGGGAGAATTTCCTTACCTGGTATCTCACACAGTAACCGTAGGCTGTATAACTGATGTCTTCCTCCCACTGAAGTATATTGGTTACTAAATAACACCCAAATATATAGATTTACATGACTTAGCTAAACGTCTCCTCCATCACGACTGAAAAGATGTTTGGATGTACTGTCAACGGTTAGTCTCCCGCGTCAGGTTTTCGTTTTCTTTAATTAGAATCACTATAAAGTATATCTATATATAATTTTGTTTGTACCAATGTTAAATTAATTTAGTTTTTATACTGATTTAGGAGACGAATGAATTGTTTAACCAGGTTTATCTATCGTAATCATGTTTATATAGTATGGGAACCACATGGATATTTCGCCTTAAGATTAAACACCTAAGTTAACCTCAAAAAAGTCAACCTAACCTATCATGTTAACCTAACCCCCAGGAAGGCTATCATGTTATCCTAAAGTCCGTATAATTGTGTGTTAACAGGATGCGTTGGCTGGCCTTCTGCATCCTAGTGGTGGTAGGGGTGACAGCCGCACATGCTAATTTTGTAAGTATTTTAACCTAACCTAACCAAATCTAATCTATTTATCCATTTTGTGGTTAAATTCTCTAATATTTATATAGAAAATTCTTAGAGATTTATATAATGAATTCTTAAATGTATCGACTTAACACATACTGACACACAATAGCATACCTGTAACCATCATGACACACCTGTAACCATCATGACACACCTGTTGCCATCATGACACACCTGTAACCATCATGACACACCTGTAATCTATATAATTTTCCTTAACAGATAGACAGCATTGTGAGTCAGATCAGCAACATCTTTACCAGTCATGAAGAGGCTACTTATAACATTTCCAGGACAGCTCCTGTAAGTCGGTGGTGAGAGAGAGAGAGAGAGTTCAATGATACAACAGGCATCTTGTATATACCTAGATAGTGCAGGTATACAATGTACCTAGACAGTGCAGGTATACAATGTACTTCGGTATACATGACCAGTTAAACAGAGGAAGCAATAAATTTTGGCTATCACAGAGGTACAGAGATATGAGGGAGGAGGCAGAGGGGGGGGGGAGGATGTGCCCTGTAATATAGTTTTTTTTTACAGGGGTACGAGGAGAGGGAGTACCCAGCATCACAGTGGGCATGTACAGAAGAGAGAGGTGACAGTGATGAACATACGGACATCCTGTTCTGGCGGCTGTTCAAATACATCAGCGGAGAGAACAGAGGAAGTGAGTTTTCTGTAGCGTTGTTTTAATTCCGTGTTTATCACCTTTGGATTAGTACCCCTAGCTTAAAATTAGTAACCCTTAGCTTATTTCACCTTAAAATTAGTACTCTTAGATTATTTCACCTGAAGATTTGAACCCCTAGCTTAAAATTAGTAGCCCTAAGCTTATTTCACCTTAAAATTAGTACTCTTAGATTATTTCACCTGAAGATTTGAACCCCTAGCTTATTTCACCCTAAAAGTAACCATCCCATCGCTAACCTAACCTTACCTGGCCCGTAAATTCTGCCATAAACATTATGTCATTAGTAATTTATACCTTGAATGTAGTATTTAATAGTCACTCCTCAAAACTATCCATAGACAATTGTGTTGAGAAAATATGATACAAGGCATGAAAGATTTTGACAACCCTACCGAGACAGCAGGAGTCATATTCATTCTGGAATTCAGTGATCACCCCAAGTGTTTTATTTTTTTTTGGTGTATGTTTAATATAAAGAACAATTTAACCCTCTTTTTCTTGTGGTATTTGTGTCTATAGAGGAAGAGATGTCCATGACCATACCAGTAACAACAGAGTTCACGTTAAGAAGCCCAACTGACAAGTCCTACACTATGTGCTTCTATCTCGGACGCCAACACCAGACTAACCCACCAACACCTACCAATGCCCAAGTCTTCATCCAGAACCGCCCATTTCTTAAAGTCTTCACCAGGTAAAGTCTTCTTGATGTGACTTTAAAGAGCTATGTTATTTGGGAAACATTTCTGCAAGTAAATCACTGTAGGTGCGCGTGATCTAGGTATATGCTGATAACCACAAGGAAAAAGAAAACACGAAGTTCCCAAGCGCTTTCGTGTAATTCACATCTTCAGGGGCGAGTACAGACTAGTCTGTACTCGCCCCTGAAGATGTGGAAAACTTTCCTTAATTATCAACAGATCACATAATGATTTTATTGATATATTGGATGACTGAAATCACACAACACACACACTGCATTCCTTCACTCCTTACCTGTATAAACAAGTCAAATGAAATGTTATCAATTCAATTTCAATTTCAATTGTTTATTCCTTGATAGAGGAAGCGGGATCCTAGTGCTGTCACGAGGTACAATAACACCAGAAGCATCTGGCAAGTGTGACAAGTATATACAGTATAAATATTATAAAGGGGCTTAAGCCTAAGGAAGGAAGGATATTCCTTCAACACATTATTAATATTATTTACATAATATCTGGCCAGTATGGGGAGGATCATCGTCAGGGGGTCGTGGTCCAGCAGGCGTCACGGAAGCGTTGTGTGTGGGGACATCTTAGGAGGTAGTGGATAAGGGTGCGGCTGTCGGGTCTTCTGCATAATGCACAGGAGCGTTGCTCAGGGGATGCGGGGGATACCAATCTCCCAAGCAAAGTCATACCCAATGATGATACGGGCAGCAATCAGGTCCCCTTTCCGCGACCCTTTCCCATAGACATACGAGAGGTCAGGAAGTTTACGGAGGACATCGTACCAGGTGGGCGGGGAGTCCAGGGGGATGGCTGCTTCCCGAGCTTCTCTCAGTTTGCGGCGAATTTGGGTCGTAAGCTGTAAAAGTGTTCGAGGAACAACGTAGTCAGGTGTGGCCTTGTTGCAGCCTGTCTTGGCAAGGCCATCTGCTGCCTCATTCCCCAAGATACCGACATGACTGGGTATCCATAGGAATGTCACAGGACGGCCTGCATCCTGAAGTGTGGATGTTAACCCTCGTATTCAGAGGATGAGGTCCTTATTTTCCCCTGATCCAAATGCGATCCCGTCAAGAGCAGACCTGTAATCGCAGCAGACAAGCAAGGGGCAGAAACCATCTGCTTCTTCCTCAGCAAGAAGGGAAGCAAGGAGGGCTATTAGTTCAGCCTGAGTGAAGGATGCCCCGTCAGAAACTCTGAGAGACAGTTTGATAGGCTCAGGGGCATCAGGACGGGAGATGTAGACACCAGCCCCGGCCCTACCTGTAGCGGGGTCAACAGAACCATCAGTTTAGAGGACGACCCTACCTGGGGACCAGTGGGTGATCCTGGAGAGGTGGTATTTGCAGAGAATAACAGGGTTCACCTGGGATTTTGGGAGCAGTCCACCGAGGGCAATCACTTCAGGTTGAAAATCCAGCCAGGGAGAAGGAGACGAACCAACAGCAGGGGTGACAACAATATCAGGCAGGAGGTCGTGTTCCTGAAGGGCTCGGATGAGTGACCCTCGCCAGTCTTCTAGATGGAGGTCGGTCTCGGACAGGAGTCAAGTTGGATTGGACATAGTTGCCCCGAGGATCCCGTAGAATGGAAACAGCAGTTTTTAGGTAAAACTCCTGGACACGATCCTGTAAGGGGGAAAGACCAACTTCGGTATATAGAGAAGTAGAGCGTGTCCACTGAGGAGCCCCAAGGATGATACGAGCAGCTTTCCTCTGGATAACTTCGAGACGGTTGACAGCAGTCCGATTAATGTTGGCGAGAGCAGGGGCGGCGTAGTCGACACAGGAACGGACAAAGGACTTGTACATGGTGAGAAGTACAGGGATGGTGGCGCCAAGGGAACCCCTGCACATGGTAGAGAAGGGAGCGAGACGCCGAAAGCATATGTCTCGAAGATAGCGGACTTCAGGGATCTGACAACGTGTGCGAGTTACATACACACCCAGGTATTTTGTCTCATTAACCCAGCCCAAGGGCGTTCCTAATACGAGAAGGGGTGGAGGTACAACACGACCGTGCCACATGGCTTTTGTTTTCGCAGTTGAAAGAAGGAAACCAAGTGAATCACACTCTCTGGAGACCAGATCAAGGGCTTCCTGCATGCTGAGGTAGTCAGGAGCTTGGAGGAGGACATCGTCGGCATATCCTGAGTGGACAACTTCTGTCGGCCACGGGAGAGATGCAATGGAGTGCTTGAGTGTTAAACAAGGGAAATGTTATCTATAATTTTCATCTGTATGTGTAGACCCTAATCATGATAAAACAAAAAAGACATTAAAATCACTTAAAATTCTCTCTTAATAATGTTATAATAGATATAAATATAAAGCCTCAATTATATGGAAGTTTGCCCCTTGTGACAGTCCCTTTATGAGAACCAGTAATTAACTAACCAACAGAAGATATACCTGTATGGGGGTATGAGAGCATGTATAGTTAGGATTGTGTTAGAAACCATATTCTGGGGTTGAAACCTATCAAACTGTGTGTGTCTGTGTGTGTGTGTGTGTGTTTGTAATAATACTAACTAATGGTTTATTGAAAAAGTTTGGCAGCCCGAAGACTGAAAATATACATTGGACAAAAATGACTTATTACATACAAAGACATGGGGTGGGTGGGTCGCTTAACAAAAGCTTTCATTACTGAAAGGAGAAGGAACAATGATTGAACATACAAGTTATTATAGTTTACAGTTAATGGTCCGGGCCTGGGCTGGTCATGGAGACACCGGGTGGTGTGGTGTTCACGTGGTGTAGTAACTCGTCCTCGGGTGTTGATATGAAGGACCTCACGTGGTCGTGGGGACACCGGGTGGTGAGGTGTATGTGTATGCATCATGTCAATAGGCTTAAATACAATGACCTAACCTAACTTACCCTAACAGGACCGTCGGAGGATACGTGGAGAGCGAGAGCGAGTGGATGGATGAGGCAGGAAGGTTGGCAGCCATCATCCAAGAAAATGGTCAGACAGTTTCACTCAACCACATGTATTGGTAAGTGACCGTGCTGAACCTAACCTAGCTTAAACAATTTTAACCTCATTAACCCTATCTAACCTTAACTATCGTCTCCCCAGGGTTGGCTACGATGCACCTCTCAAATTCTGGTACCGCCGTAACGAGGTGTGGTTCCCTGTCAACTAACAAGACTACTGAGGCTGCGAGGGACAACCGTGTGTTTATTAACTTTATTTACCAACAAGGCCCTGCACTGAGCATAATATTCAGACTGGAGGGCCCTGACCAGAGCATATTCTTCACCATTCAGAGATGTCAAAAGTTATATTTCAGCAAAAACACAATGATGTATAATGTATCACAACAAATAATCGGGTTAAATTAGTTACAATGTAAAAATTTTCAATAAAGTGTCTGAATTAGTTACTATGTATGTGGTGACACCTGTGGGCAGTAAACTGGGGAAGTATTTAATGTGTTAAATTAATGTTCTCAAACCTGGTGGGTCTCTCTCTAGGGTCCTGCAACATAAGACGTTTTTGATCTTCCTTAAAAGTTACATAATTCCCTCAAATTAAACTGACAGATGTAAAAATAACTTAGTACAGTGGCAGAGCTTGTGGTCAACCAGTACTTTTTGCTGCACAACAAACCCATGAAGGCATCACAAGGATAATGGGTTCAGACCGCTCCATGGGCAACAACCTAACCTAACCTACTTCACTTCCTATAACAGCAGTTCCCAAGCACAGTCACGACCCCATTTTGTATCATAAGAGGTCACATAGAGCTCATGGGGTCGCTGGAGTCATCTGGGTTTTGTAGAGGTCACATGACAGACGTGGCCGACACGTGCCGTCTCGTAAAGTCTGGATCATAAATTATGGTCAAGGGATTAACACAGTTACTCTCCTTGGTCAGGTCAGGTAATTTATGAAATAACAATGTACACGTCACATGAATTTTGACCCATGTAACTTGTATTGAAAATTAATTAGATACACACATACTGTACACACTTCACACAAGCACATCACACTTCACACACACATACAGTATGAAACATGACAAGAGTTGTAACTATGAAAATTGTATGTTGTCACAAACACGTCACACTGGATAAGACAGCACTAGATGGCGAGGCACTGGAACATCCTTGAGATCTTGTCCTATAATATTAAAATCAGTGTATACAAACAAGGGTACAGTACTCAAGGGGTTAAGTCATCATACTTATGTGGTTAAGGATTCATTCTCAAGGGGTTAAATCATCATACTTAAGGGGTTAATTCACTGTACCCAAGATGTTGTCATCATATTCAAGTAAAGTCATCATACTCAGGGGGTTAAGTCTCATACTCAAGAGGTTGTCATCATACACAAGGTGTTAAGTCATCATACTCAAGGGGTTAAATCATCATACTTAAGTGATTAAGGATTCATTCTCAAGGGGTTAATTCACTGTACCCAAGATGTTAAGTCATCATAATCAAGAAGTAAAGTCATCATACTCAAGGGGTTAAGTCATTATACTTGAGGGGTTAACTCCATACTCTAGGGGTTGAAAGACCTTTATCAATGGACTAACTCATTTGTACCCCATAAGTTAACATCACCTATAACCAAGAGATTAACGCTATAATTTCGTTTCATTAGTGACAAAGTTAACAGCATTATCCACAGTTAACTTTAGTTATTAACTCTACTCAAAACTCAATCATTATATCAATATTTTTTTTTTCCAATTTAAATATTCAACGTAATTCTTTATTTTTTTCATATTTCGTCCTTAGTGTATTGTATATATTCATTTTACTTATTTTTCCCTATAAAATAAACTATCATAGATTGTTTTATTTTATTCAATACAAATACAAATTACAAGGTACTGTACAGTTAGTTTATTAACATTAGAAGTATAGTAGACATAATTTTCTTACAGCAGACAACTTGTTTATCATATTGGTAATGTATATTTACATGTCTAACAAACAAGTGTACTATGGTATTTAAACAATCTTTAATTTGTTATGGTATTTCCTATGACTTCTAATCAAGTTTTCTATTATCTTCAACTTAGTTTTAATCTTTCTCTGTTTTTGGTAAATATTTTGTTTACCCTTACATCCAAAACAGCACTAAATTAACAATGTTAAATCAAGGTGACACTAGTTTGATCCTGTTGTCACTTCGTTATTTATGACATTGAATGAAGTGCAGTTTTACTATCCCTAAGATATTACATCGAAACTTTTATTTAGCGGACAACACGGCGAGGAAAGTCCCTTTATATCGAGGTTCCACTACCGTACTCTGCCACAGAGGTTAGATTCTTGTACTACAGCATCACATTCTAAGTACAGAGAACCTGTACTGTAAAATATCACCTTACTGCACAGGTTAAATGGAGGAAGAAATTGTACCAGCAGAGGTCGTCGGTGTACGGTCTTCTGAAGCTCTGCCGTCAACGCATGGGTAATTGACGACAAACATTCAGTACATATGAGTTTGTAATTAATTTCTTAGATTTTTTATTCCCGGGAGATTACCAGTTTACTTGGCTATGCAGCGAAGACAGTCCGACACATTAGGAGCTTCAGTTTTAATAGTGTGTTATAATGACCTAACTTCAGTCTTAATAGTGTGTTATAATGACCTAACTTCAGTCTTAATAGTGTGTTATAATGACCTAACTTCAGTCTTAATAGTGTGTTATAATGACCTAACTTCAGTCTTAATAGTGTGTTATGACCTAACTTCAGTCTTAATAGTGTGTTATAATGACCTAACTTCAGTCTTAATAGTGTGTTATAATGACCTAACTTCAGTCTTAATAGTGTGTTATAATGACCTAACTTCAGTCTTAATAGTGTGTTATAATGACCTAACTTCAGTCTTAATAGTGTGTTATAATGACCTAACTTCAGTCTTAATAGTGTGTTATAATGACCTAACTTCAGTCTTAATAGTGTTATAATGACCTAATTAGTCTTAGTGTGTTATAATGACCCTATCCTCACACACACACACTGTTATACAATGCCACAGGGTGTTTACCTAACTCAACATTAACCAAGTACTGGAGGCATTATTGTTACCTTGTCTTCTGCATAAATAATAAAAACAATAAATTAATCCTTTATCATCTTGTTTTACTGAATATTTGAAGGAATTTGGATGTTCTTGATAATAATTAACAGTAAGCTTCATAAGGGGGGAAAAATGCTCACACTATATCAAATAAAAAAAATAAATAAAAAGTTTTCCTTATATATACAGATAGATTATATATGAAAAGTCTCCATAAACTCAATGTAAGGTTAAAGACCCAGAAATTAAACCCTACAAAACACGTAACAATACAGCTTACTTTACGGCAGATGGCGAATACCAAGTCGACACAACTGCTACCTACTAACGGAGCTCCTGTAGGCATATAGCTCAACATTATAGCCAATTAATTCCATAATACATTAATAAAAAAAACACACTTGAAATAATATACTCCATAACCTCACTGAGAAGCAATAGTATAGTAATAAATTGAGAATAAATGGAAACACAATAGAGGGAACATTACTTCATGGCTTCAGGCAGGAATAACAGATGCCATCCTTTGCAGTACAAGTACCACCAAAAGACTATATGGTGTAATTATAGTGCCCAAGTCTTGCCAAGCCACACGACAACACAGCGACCACGAAATTAAAACTGCAAGTCGAGAAAAATATACAAGTGGAGAAAACCAAATGGAGCGTCAAGAACCATAGAGGTGATATAGCGTACAGGCGTGACACAGAACGAAGCCAATATCAAATGTAGTTTTTTAAGTCGCCTAAAGTTTAAACGACAGCAAAAAACTATCCAAGAGCGAGTCGTCGTGTTTACAGCCAGAGTTTTAACACTATTGAGTCACTTAAGACAACAACCAGTACAGTACATGACGGAGGTGTGGCCAGTATACAACGGGAGGGGCTAGACATAACGGGGAGGTGTCAGGAGGCCAGGATAATGGGGAGGTGTGGCTACATGCGGGAGGTATGTAAGGATATAGCGGGAGGTGTGGTAGTACATAGGGAGGTGTGGTCAGGATGGGGAGGTGTGGGTAGCATAGTAGGAGGGATAGACATATGGAGGTGGCCAGGAAATGAACCATCCAACACAGTATTAAGATTTCATTTCTGGCCACACTCTGTTATGTCCTGGCCACACCTCCTGTCATGTACTGGCCACACCTACCTGTCATGTACTGCCACATCTCCCTGTCATGTACTGGCCACACCTCCCCTGTTATGTCCTGCCACACCTCCTGTTATGTCCTGGGCCACACCTCCTGTATGTCCTGGCCACACCTCCTGTCATGTCCTGCCACACCTCCTGTTATGTCCTGGCCACACCTCCCTGTTATGTCCTGGCCACACCTCCCGTCATGTCCTGGCCACACCTCCCGTCATGTCCTGGCCACACTCCCCTGTCATGTCTCCACACCTCCCCATGTCCGGCCACACCTCCCCTGTCATGTCCTGGCACACCTCCCTGTCATGTCCTGCCACACCTCCCTGTCATGTCCTGGCCACACCTCCCTGTCATGTCCTGGCCACACCTCCCTGTCATGTCCTGGCCACACCTCCCTGTCATGTACTGGCCACACCTCCTGTCATGTCCAGGCCACACCTCCCTGTCATGTCCTGGTCACACCTCCCTGTCATGTCCTGGCCACACCTCCCTGTCATGTACTGGCCACACCTCCCGTCATGTCCTGGTCACACCTCCCTGTCATGTCCTGGCCACACTTCCCTGTTATGTACTGGTCACACCTCCCTGTCATGTCCAGGCCACACTCCCTGTCATGTCCAGGCCACACCTCCTGTCATGTCCTGGCCACACCTCCTGTCATGTCCTGGCCACACCTCCCTGTCATGTCCAGGCCACACCTCCCTGTCATGTCCTGGCCACACCTCCCTGTCATGTCCTGGCCACACCTCCCTGTCATGTCCTGGCCACACCCTCCCTGTCATGTCCTCCACACCTCCCTGTCATGTCCTGGCCACACCTCCCTGTCATGTACTTGCCACACCTCCCTGTCATGTCCTGGCCACACCTCCCTGTCATGTCCTGGCCACACCTCCCTGTCATGTCCTGGCCACACCTCCCTGTCATGTCCTGGCCACACCTCCCTGTCATGTCCTGGCCACACCTCCCTGTTATGTACTGTAATGTGGTGGTGTCCTAAGTGACTCAATAGTGTTAAAACTCGGGCGTCACAAGGATCATGGGTTCAAGACACCACCATGGGCAGCACACCCAGAGGCATCACAAGGATCATGGGTTCAAGACACCACCATGGGCAGCACACCCAGAGGCATCACAAGGATCATGGGTTCAAGACACCACCATGGGCAGCACACCCAGAGGCATCACAAGGATCATGGGTTCAAGACACCATCATGGGCAGCATTAAACAGTATATCCCACACCCTGAGACGGTCTCTAGGGGCACAAGAGGTAATGGCTCGCTCTCATCCAAGGCTCGACAGGTACAGACAAACACACAGTACAGTTGTTTAATGTGACGGCACCGTTGACTAGGATAGGACACACTTGAATGGTCTCACACTCCCCCAGTATTTAACATAGCCTCTTGCCCTCTGTCACATCTAAGCAGTACTGTACAATACTTAACTTACGTGGATAATTGTTTTTGTTTTTTTAAGAATAATGAGTTTCTATGATGACAAAAATTTTATCATAAAAATTTTTGTCGGAAAAAAAAAAAAATACAATGACCCATCCTTCCCCGTAACTGCCCCAAGACAGTCACTCCACTTAGGACAGAGTGAGTAGAGTTCCTAGGCCATGTTAAATATTGACTGGAGTCGTGTGTCGGTGCAACCATTAAGTCGTAGGATGTTAGAGAGAGACTTACATGGTAAAACACTCTTAAGGCCAACTCAGGTGCTTGGTTGTGTGGTGGATGTGAACAATAACTCTTAGGTGGACGTGAAACAGAGACTCTCCTCCCCGAGAAAAAGGCTGAACTATTTCCCTTACACAATGAGAGCTTATTGGTATTAGTCACATGATGTACTGTGACAACTTTATCCAATATTAAGAGATACCATTCTGTTTTGTGTTTAATTACAAATATAATGGCCAAGCTTAATATAATGGCCAAGCTCAATATAATGGCCAAGTTCAATATAATGGCCAAGCTCAATATAATGGCCAAGTTCAATATAATGGCCAAACTCAAATATAATAGTGTATAGATGGATTTGTTACTCCCTAGCAGTGAAGAATCACTTGAAGAGGAAGGCCTATCATCCAGTTCTTTAAGAGTAGGATGTATTGTTACGGTCTTAGTTACCAAGCTGTGCCTCTTACATGTACTTAATAATTTAGTTTTGGTGTATATCTGAAAGAACGTGTGACAATCAGTATACAAGTTCTTCGATACAATTAATACATTCATACCACCTTGACCCCAAGTCGCTTGACAACAGAAGTGAGTCGCTCCTTGTTCCTGAAAAGTTGTTGAAAAAGAGACAGTTGGCGCTGCAGAGCCTGGTTCTCCTGCCTTAGGGAGTTCCTCTCCTGCAGAAGTTGAGCCACAGATGTTGGGGCCATGATGAGTGGTGCAGTGTTGAGTGACTGTTGTGAGAGTTGGAGGACCAACATAGATCCTGCACCCTGGGTTGATGGTATAGAGACAATGTTGCTGGCATGTGCAGCAACCTGCTGAGGGGTCATGCATATGATGCGGGCCCTCTTGTTCGCCAGTAAGTCCTCTATGTCGGCACGGGAGGGCACTTGACCGCTACTCCCAGAACTGGTGGAGCTGCTGCTCTCCGTGTTGCCGGGCTCCTCGGTGCGTGGTCGTTTGCGAGAAGCTGCTCCCTCCTGGCTGGGCGCGGTGGAGGTTGCAGCACTTACATTTTCACTGGACTTCAGTACTCCAGACTGAACTCCTACACTGCCTCCCAGCTTATTCTTAACACTGGTTTGGTTTTCCTGGGTGTTGGGCTCAGTAGTCTTTGGGGTCCTGGATCCCATCAAGGCAGGGGGTAGAGTCGTCGACACGGGAACGGAGGCGGCAAGAGTAGACGCCCTGGCCAGGTCGCAACAGACAGAGCCGGCCGACCTGTCCGAGCCGCTGCCCGGAACGCGCACCAGAGACCTCACAAGATCACCTGTGTCGTGTGGAGCAACCATAATTATGTACCTGACAACTTAACCCGATACAAAAAGGTGGCTAAATTAATCTGTTATGTACTTGATATTTTGATGACTTGACCAATTGTAGGTCACCCTCAACTGGTCAGTATACTGTATGTGTAATGTTGTGTGAACTGTAACCAATCCAAGCTGGAAATAACCCAACCAGAACAGTACAGTGCAGTATGTGTTGTGATGTGTTAAGCTAACCAGACCAAGATGGGACCACCCCAAATTAGACTGATTGCAGCGTGGGTGAGTGTGGTGTTAATTCGACTAAACAACACGAGCCGTTAAGTCCGTTGGTGTACAATATCTGCAGACCAAAACACTATGTCCAATGTATAGTTCCTCTATTACTGAGAATAAACAACACAACACTTATCAAACACTATGTCTGAGTGAGTAACACTGTTTACACAACACACTCAGTCAACACCAGTAACTCTTCCACTACTGTACTGTGGGGGGGGGGGAAAAGTTTACACCTTACTCTAGTGTGTTTTCAGTACTTCATTTTAATCACCACTACTGCCAGATGGAGGGGGGAGGTATTTACTATCTAGTCACTCATATCAAATGTCTCCAGTAAAGTAGGTCTTCACATGAGGGGGTGAATTCAAAGCCTTTTAGCTCGTCTTACTTCTGACTGGATATTCCACTTTGAGGGTGACGGCCAATCTGAAATATAAAATGTATATAAGAAAGAAGCAATAATATCAAACATTAACACAACTGAAGACTATAAAACAAGTGACATATTAAACAATGACATGTGGGGGTGGGGTGGGGTGGGGTGGGGTGGGGTGGGGTGGGGATGGGTGGGGTGTGACCGTTGCCCTCCAAAAATAAAAAAATGGTCCTACAATGCTGTTCAAAGTTTAGGTGTTGCGTATTGGCATAAATAATACCCACGTGTAATTTTGTGAAGATTCATCATATCTGAGTGAGCTGCAGCAATTTGAAAAAAAGTTCTTTTTCTTATACGTCATACGAGCCTGTACATGAGAGTACACAACCATCATAAGGGATATTAACACAACCATCTGCCTGGCTTAAGTAAAAGCTGTTATCACTGACACAAAAAAGTTAATTATTCTTATTCTCTCATGGTACATTAAGGGGTTTTATCATATATTCACAAGGTATTATTTCTCTAGAGCAAGAAACCATGATTTGTGTTGGGAAACAGATGATCGTTTGTGCTGATTAGGAAAGCGGAGTCTGTCATTTTCAACTACTGTACTTGAAGGACTTCTTGAAAGCGCTCCTCATCCCTGGCAATAAGAATGATTAACTTTTGCTTTGTGTACTCAACAGGCTCGTATGACGATAAGAAAAATAACTTTCAAATTGAGCTCAGAGACAGCATGATATGCCAATAACATCTTTGAACAGCATTGTAGGACAAAGTTGGGGCAACTGTCACACCCTAGTGGGGATGGGTGGGGATGGGTGGGGTGGGGATGGGTGGGGATGGGTGGGGTGTGGTGGGATGGGTGGGGTGTGGTGGGGATGGATGGAGTGTGGTGGGGATGGGTGGATGGGTGGAGGGGGTGGGGATGGGTGGAGGTGGGGTGGGGATGGGTGGAGTGGGGTGGGGGATGGGTGGATGGGGTGGGGATGGGTGGGTGGGGTGGGGATGGGTGGGTGGGGTGGGGATGGGTGGGGTGTGGTGGGATGGGTGGGTGGGGATGGGTGGGGTGTGGGGGGGATGGGTGGGGTGTGGTGGGGATGGGTGGTGGGATGGGTGGGGATGGGGTGGGTGGGGATGGGTGGGGTGGATGGATGGGTGGGATGGTGGGGTGGTGGGGATGGGTGGGTGGGTGGGATGGGTGGAGGGGTGGGGATGGGTGGGGATGGGATGGGTGGGGATGGATGGGTGGGGTGGGGATGGGTGGGGTGTGGTGGGGATGGGTGGGGTGTGGTGGGGATGGATGGGTGTGGTGGGGATGGGTGGAGTGTGGGGGGATGGGTGGAGTGGGGTGGGGATGGGTGGGTGGGGATGGGTGGGGATGGATGGGTGGGGTGGGTGGGTGGGTGGGGATGGATGGTGTGGTGGGATGGGTGGGTGTGGATGGGTGGGTGTGGTGGGGATGGAGTGGAGATGGGTGGTGGGATGGGTGGGGTGTGGTGGGGATGGGTGGGGTGTGGTGGGGATGGGTGGGGTGTGGTGGGGATGGGTGGGTGTGGTGGGATGGGTGGGGGGGTGGGGATGGGTGGAGTGGGGATGGGTGGAGGGGGTGGGGATGGTGGGAGGTGGGGATGGGTGGGGTGTGGTGGGGATGGGTGGGGTGTGGTGGGGATGGGTGGGGTGGGATGGGTGGGGTGGTGGTGGGGATGGGTGGGGTGTGGTGGGGATGGGTGGGGTGGTGGGATGGGTGGGGTGGTGGGGATGGGTGTGGGTGGGATGGGTGGGTGGGGTGGGGATGGGTGGGTGGGGTGGGGATGGGTGGAGTGGGGTGGGGATGGGTGGTGTGGTGGGGATGGGTGGGTGGGGTGGGATGGGTGGGTGGTGGTGGTGGGATGGGTGGGTGTGGTGGGTGGGTGGGTGGGGTGGGGATGGGTGGGTGGGGATGGTGGGGATGGGTGGAGTGGGGTGGGGATGGGTGGAGGGTGGGGTGGGGATGGGTGGGTGGGGTGGGGATGGGTGGATGGGTGGATGGGTGGTGGGTGGGGTGGGTGGATGGGGTGGGTGGGTGGGGTGGTGGGTGGAGGGGGTGGGGATGGGTGGAGTGTGGTGGGGATGGGTGGGTGGGGTGGATGGGTGGGATGGGTGGAGTGTGGTGGGGATGGGTGGAGTGTGGTTAATTTAATAAGGATTTTTTTTTGTCCATATATTTGGTTATGCTAAGTACTGCATTAACCAGGGTGTCATCCAAGGTGTGCGCCAAACAAAATTTTCTAAAAACTTACTTTTCATTAAAGTTTAGAGTTTTCAGTTTATTTACATGACTAAGACCAACGATTAGTTATATAAAAATGCAGTGATATAACGTGTATGTGATTGGTATTGCATATTTACATGAATAAGGCCGATAGGTTGTTTGAAAATGCAAATTAATTATTTGTGAAATTGTGTACAGTGTACACCTTGATCATCATCTGATCTTGGCAGGATGCTATTTGCTACCTATGGTATACAGTACTATTGTATAGTTTTTGGATTCGTTTAATACTTTCTGTCTTTTCGTACAGTAAATAAAGATTATAAAGTGTATGTTGAAACTTGAATGTAAACTAATGTTTAATTTCATTTGTTCATTTAATTATTTGTGTACACCTTGATTATCATCTGATCTTGGCATGCTATACCTTCTTGGGAAGCTCTACGTCTCAGGCACAAGACAACATATGAAAATTTCAGCTCTAGGTCTGTTTTAAGGGTTTTAGAGCCACAAAAAAAAGCTAAATTCATATAATAAAAGTTAGCGGTTAGCTCCAGCTGTTTTTTAGCTGTTTAGCATTAGCGAAATTAACTTTTTAGTTAGCGGATTAGCGGTTAGCGAAGCTAACTTTTCGTTTAGCTGTGCCCACCACTGCAAATTAATTCCCTTTACTGTACTGTGTTACGTCAACAACCTCTTAATAAAACAACACCGCCAAACATAACAAAGATCAACATCGACTGCTTCAGGACCTATTAGTAAATGTACCCAACTGTGATGCACCGATGAGTACACTTAAGAGCAGTGATGGGGGTCAACACACTACAGTGTTCGAGAAGACTGTGTTAACAAAGGAGATGTTTTGTAAATATACTTAATTAATTTATATATTTAAACAATTCAATGTACTGTATACACAAGGTTACAATACAGTACCTCATGCTATGTAAAGGTTAGGTTAGGTGGTTCTTTAGTATACTGCAGAGAGCCTCAAACAATTACAGTGTGGGGGTCGGAAGTATTTAAATCCAACTACAGTACTGAAGAGAAAGACAGGGACCACAGTCTTCAACTCCAGGCAGTGACAGAGGACTTTCTTCTATATAAACAGGACAACCACAAGAAAATAGGTGTTGACAGCATCCCAGCCAGGTTATTGAGAGATAGTGCCACTATATTAAACACCAATAACACCTCTAATTAATCTATCCATTACCACAAAAAATTTTAAAAAAGAAAAGAAAAAGGTTGTATTAATCTACACCACGAAGATGCCGGAAAACCATCTTTTTAAAGTGAGACAGATTGTAAGAGCATGGAAACACAGAAGAAGGCAGAGCATTCCACAGTTTGGCTGTGTGAGGAAAGAAGGAGGTACTGTAACGGGTTATTATAGTGTGACCGACAGCCACACAGAAACTGTGGGCACTGTGGGCAAGACGAGTGTTACGTGCCAACGGCCTTGCCGGCGGTACACAGGATGCCAAATGCACCGAACATTGCCCGTTTAAGTACCTGTAAAAGAGAGAGAGTTAAGCAACATTGTGGTGAAGAGAAAGGGAAGAAAGATTATCAACTAAAGGAGGAGAGTTAATAAGACGAAATGCCTTTGATTCCACCCTATGTAACAGTTGAAGAGCCACCCCAGATATGAGAGCAGTACTCCACGTTAGGACGAATGAATCCCTTATAAACTTGGAGCAACTGCATTCCCAGCTTTTGGGAGGCAGCTTTAGCAATGTTGAGGATGTGTGGCTTCCATGACATATTAGAGGAAATGGTGAGGCCTAGCATATCTATTTTAGAACTCGGCAGAATGAATGCATCCTGAAATGTGATTGGTGGGAGATCATCAAATTTGGAAAGAGTAATTGGTAAATATCGAGTTTTATTTCTATTAAACTTAACCAAGTTCCACCTCCCCATTCAGAGATACTGCACAGATCAGCAGTGGTAGATGTACTGTAGTGATATCAGCTCTAGTTTGAGTGGACGAGTTGACGGTTCTGGGTAAACACAAGAAATACAGTACACTATGCCACGTTCATAGTGATACGGTATATATATATAATTTGGAATAAAAGTTTATAAGTCCTGCTATAATAGTAGAGATAAGTTTATTTCTCAAGAAACAGGACCGCCATTTGCAATGATGTCACTACCTTCAAACTCACAGCTACAGTCTGAGGTAGTAGAAAGGGTGGCCTCTTCAGACCCCAAATGCCACGTTCAGTAAGTTTTAAGGGTGTTTTTTTATGGTCTAAGTCACGGACATTTGGTAAGTGAAGTAATGTGCCGTTAAGAGCAGCTTCAAACATAGGCTGGATGGGTATATGAGTGATAGGGGTTGGGTGTAAATGGGACTGACCAGTATGGCCCACTGCAGGTTCCTCCAGTCTTATGTTCTTATGGACATAAAAAACTCGCATGTTCACACCAGCTCAGCTGTCATGTACTCTTACCTGGGAGACTTTCTCGTTTTTCTTCAGTTCATTTACAGACTATATGAGTACTAGATGGAGATACAAGTCAACTTAGAAGCAATGATATTGTCTGGACTTTGTTTTAATAATGCCTGATGCTAGTTAACATGACAACATAGTGCTGTTATTGTTTTGATAAAGCCTGATGCTAGTTAACATGACAACATAGTGCTGTTATTGTTTTGATAAAGCCTGATGCTAGTTAACATGACAACATAGTGCTGTTATTGTTTTGATAAAGCCTGATGCTAGTTAACATGACAACATAGTGCTGTTATTGTTTTGATAAGCCTGATGCTAGTTAACATGACAACATAGTGCTGTTATTGTTTTGATTGATGCCTGATGCTGCTAGTTAACATGACAACATAGTGCTGTTATTGTTTTGATAAAGCCTGATGCTAGTTAACATGACAACATAGTGCTGTTATTGTTGATAAAAGCCTGATGCTAGTTAACATGACAACAAATTGATAGTGCTGTTTATTGTTTTTGACCTGAAAAGCTGATGCTAGTTAACATGACAACATAGTGCTGTTATTGTTTTGATAAAGCCTGATGCTAGTTAACATGACAACATAGTGCTGTTATTGTTTTGATAAAGCCTGATGCTAGTTAACATGACAACATAGTGCTGTTATTGTTTTAATAAAGCCTGATGCTAGTTAACATGACAACATAGTGCTGTTATTGTTTTGATAAAGCCTGATGCTAGTTAACATGACAACATAGTGCTGTTATTGTTTTGATAAAGCCTGATGCTAGTTAACATGACAACATAGTGCTGTTATTGTTTTGATAAAGCCTGATGCTAGTTAACATGACAACATAGTGCTGTTATTGTTTTGATAAAGCCTGATGCTAGTTAACATGACAACATAGTGCTGTTATTGTTTTGATAAAGCCTGATGCTAGTTAACATGACAACATAGTGCTGTTATTGTTTTGATAATGCCTGATGCTAGTTAACATGACAACATAGTGCTGTTATTGTTTTGATAAAGCCTGATGCTAGTTAACATGACAACATAGTGCTGTTATTGTTTTGATAAAGCCTGATGCTAGTTAACATGACAACATAGTGCTGTTATTGTTTTAATAATGCCTGATGCTAGTTAACATGACAACATAGTGCTGTTATTGTTTTGATAAAGCCTGATGCTAGTTAACATGACAACATAGTGCTGTTATTGTTTTGATAAACCTGATGCTAGTTAACATGACAACATAGTGCTGTTATTGTTTTGATAAAGCCTGATGCTAGTTAACATGACAACATAGTGCTGTTATTGTTTTGATAAAGCCTGATGCTAGTTAACATGACAACATAGTGCTGTTATTGTTTTGATAATGCCTGATGCTAGTTAACATGACAACATAGTGCTGTTATTGTTTGATAATGCCTGATGTAGTTAACATGCTGATGCTAGTTAACATGCCAGTGATAATGCCTGATGACAACATAGTGCTGTTATTGTTTTGATAAAGCCTGATGCTAGTTAACATGACAACATAGTGCTGTTATTGTTTTGATAATGCCTGATGCTAGTTAACATGACAACATAGTGCTGTTATTGTTTTAATAAAGCCTGATGCTAGTTAACATGACAACATAGTGCTGTTATTGTTTTGGTGATTCACTAATGAACCACTGGGATATATCATAATTTATATTAATTAATGGGTAAAGTTGACTTAATCTACCATGAGTATTTGGATGTTTAGAATCAAGATAGACTGTACAGTGGTCCCTCGATTAACGAACAAAACTTCGATTAACAAAATCCTTACAACAATCACGATTTGTTGTGAGCATCAGCGGATTGGCTAGTTCGCCAATACAGTAATTGGTTCTATGTTTACATTCATTTCCAGTGCTCTTTAATATTTTTGCATTTTTTTATATTAAAATTATTAGTCATTTTAAAATTTAGTTAACATATTAATAATATACAGTCCAAAAATCCGGATGCCAGAAATCCGGACCACCAGGCAATCCGGACTTTTCGAAAATTCAAACTTTTTTTTAGCTGGCTTTTGTGTGTATGTGCGCATGCGTGAGCGCCACAGCTGCACAGCAACAAGCGACCACGCGGTCGCCACTTTAAAACGAGCGACCAAACTGTGACAACGTATGTAATTTTGAGTCCTACTCTTTCCATTTACAGAGTACTGTACAAGCCCATAATAATGGCTCCTATAGTAGATAAACTTCGTTGTGTGAAGAGAAAGAAGAACAAGTTGAAATTAAGTGACAAACTTGAAATAATTAAGAAACTAGAACGCGGTGTGAGCAATACTGTTCTAATGGAAACATACGACATTGGAAAGTCTACAATTTATGATATAGAAAAGGCAAAGAATAAAATTCTAGAATTCACAGCATTTTCTTTAAAACTGCTCGTTTTGATAAATGAAGCATGCTATATTTGCTAATGAATAAACTATCAAAATGTACCTGTTCATCTCTTCTTTATTCCTCCTTAAATTTGAATTTATAAGTACTGCCAGAGAATCCGGAAAATCCGGACCGACCCAATCCCCAAGCAGTCCGGATTTTTGGACTTCTACTGCAGTACAGGGAACTAGTTTTTTGTGCGCCCAACAGCCACCTGACTCACCCGCCAAAGCGTCTCTGTTTAACTTTGTTTACAGTGGAGTGAACATCGTGTTTGTTGGTCTCCTGAATATTTCTAAGTTTTTACATTAAAATTATTAGTCAATATCTTGAATGTAGATCCAAAGTTATGGTGACTTCCACCATATTTACCATGACAAATGTGGCCCAGAGGCTGGGGGCCACTGGTGTACTAACTGACCATATCAGGTCCCCAAATAACTCATTAAAATAACACAGGAATAGTGATGTTAGTGTTGCATAAAGTGTTCAACACAGTGAATCATGATGTACTGTACTGTAGGCTCTTGGAATGGTCCTGTTGACTGGTTTAAACCTAATCTTAACAACAGGAAACAAATAACAGCAAGCCAACAGCCCAAGGAGTCCCACAAGGGCGTGCAGTATCCTTGAGCCCACCTCTGTTCTTCCTGGTTCATTAGTATTAATTGGCTGCAGGTTGATACAGCAGTTATCACCTGCAAACAGTGGCTCATAGACAACAAATTATCCCTATATCTGGTTAACACTGAAACAATATTATTATGATCAGAAACAAAACTCAAAGGTTAATGAATTCACTGTACTGTGTGTGTGTGGATGAACCATCTCACCTGTAGGCTCAGTGACATACCTGGGACTAACTCTTGACTCTTGTTGGTCTGGTGAATTAATAAAAGTAATGCTAGGATCAAATGTTTCTATAGATGTGCTACATGACTTTGATCTGATGCCTGATAACCCTTTGGTTGGCACTCATACAGTGTCACTTGGGACTATTCCTACTCATCATGGTACAGCACTCAGCCCTAACACACAAGCTACAAACCAGGCGGCGAGGACATGATAGCAGGAGATCACGTTGGCCAATCAGTGAACATGTTAAGTGTGGCAGATAGAGTGAAGCAACTGACTGTGGCCAGAGGTCTAACAATAAACTTTGTACGGGTTGTTGGTCTGGTGAATTAATAAAAGTAATGCTAGGATCAAATGTTTCTATAGATGTGCTACATGACTTTGATCTGATGCCTGATAACCCTTTGGTTGGCACTCATACAGTGTCACTTGGGACTATTCCTACTCATCATGGTACAGCACTCAGCCCTAACACACAAGCTACAAACCAGGCGGCGAGGACATGATAGCAGGAGATCACGTTGGCCAATCAGTGAACATGTTAAGTGTGGCAGATAGAGTGAAGCAACTGACTGTGGCCAGAGGTCTAACAATAAACTTTGTACGGGTTACCAGAGGGAGAATTGGTGGGGAGGAATTGGTGGAAATTGGTGGGGAGGGTGTGAATGGGGAGGGGGTGGTGGGGGTTGAGGAGGGTGGTGCAGGGGGTTGTGAGGGGAGGGGGAGGGTGGTGGGGGTTGAGGGGAGAGGGAGGGGTGGTGGGAGGTTGGGGGGAGGGGGAGGGGTGGTGGGGGGTTGAGGGGAGGAGGAGGGTGGTGCAGGGGTTGGGGGAGGGAGGTGGTGGGGTTGAGGGGGGTGGGGGTTGAGGAGGTGGTGCAGGGGTTGGGGGCGGAGGGTGTGTGGTGGGGAGGTTGAGGGGAGGAGGGGTGGGGTGGTGGGGGTGGAGGGTGGTGGGGAGGTTGAGGGGTGGGGTGGTGGGGTTGAGGGTGGGGCAGTGGGGGTTGAGGAGGGTGGTAGGGGGGGTTGAGGGGGAGGGTGGTGGGGTTGAGGGGAGGGGGTGTGGTGGGGGATGGAGGAGGTGGGGTTGGGGGAGGAGGTGGTGGGGGTTGGGGGAGGTGGAGGTGGGGGTTGAGGGGGAGGAGGGTGGTGGGGTTGTGAGGGAGGGAGGTGGAGGTGGGGGTTGTGAGGGGGGTGGTGGGGGTTGGGGGAGGGGGAGGGTGGTGGGGGTTGAGGGAGGGGTGGTGGGGGTTGAGGGAGGTGGTGGGGTTGGGGAGGGGGGTGGGGGGTTGGGGGAGGGGTGGTGGGGAGGTTGGGGGGAGGGAGGGGGTGGTGGGGTTGAGGGGAGGGGGTGGTGGGGTTGAGGGAGGTGGTGGGGGGTGGAGGGAGGTGGAGGTGGGGGTGGAGGGAGGGGTGTGGTGGGGGTGAGGTGGAGGGGTGATGGGGGTTGAGGGAGGTGGTGGGGGGTTGAGGGAGGTGGTGGGGTTGAGGGGAGGGTGGTGGGGTTGAGGGAGGTGGGGTGAGAACCAGAGTGGAGGGTGGGGTGATGGGGGTTGAGGGAGGGGGTGGTGGGGAGGTTGAGGGAGGAGGGGTGGTGGGGGTTGAGGGTGGGTTGAGGGGAGGGGGGATGAGGAAGGGGAAAGGAGGGGGAAAGGAGGGGGAAAGGAAGGAGGGGGAAAGGAAGGAGGGGGAAGGGGGTTGAGGAAGGGGAGGGGGAAAGGAGGGTGGAGGGGCCGGTTAATAGAGAGGGTTAAGGGGGTGGGAAAGACGTACAATTACCACTATCAAAGGTGAAAAACCAGATCCCATATAAAGTTAATACCAAAACACTAATATTCCAGCCACATGATTCGTGCTGAACACATCACAATAACAAAAGTATTTCAACACACACTTACAGTATACCTACAGTTCTAGGAGACGGCGGCACCATGACTGCAACACCACACTCCCGCTCACAGCTAGGCAATACACTGGATGTACAATGGCATCTGTGGGGTTCATATATGCCTGAGCAACTAAACCAGCACACCTCCCACCCCGCACCCCCCCCACTGGTCGATCCACTCAAAACGATTTCATACTCAAGGACTCTGTCACACGCTTACACTCACTCTTTCTCTGATGCAGCGAATCACTTGTTTGTCTACTTCCTACATTTAATTTATAACAAGGACTCGTGTGTGTATATATATATGTATATGTGCATGTATATATGTATATGTATGTATATGTGTGTTTACATATTTGTATATGTACTGTCAATGAATATGATGCATCTCTTCGTGTACGAACCTCTGTCCTGCATGGCAGTGAACAGTGACATTACCCATATGAATCTGACCTCTATACATTTATAGTTGTTAATGAATATGATGTATTTCTTTGTGTATGAACCTCTGTCCTGCGTGGCAGTGAGAAGTGATACCACCCTCAGTGTCAAGACCTGACTGAATTACTCAGAATAGGCAAACTGTACTACAAGCTCTGCCAATAAATTTGTTAAACTAAATTAAAGTGTACATATGAACCCGAATCGTTCTACAGTAGCCTAGTAAACATTATAAACGGTCCAAGTAAGTTATAAACGGACCAATCTATTTATACATCGCCTAATAGTTAGTCAAAAGTCATACATGTATATGCGTGTGTGAGGAGTGTTGCCTACAATAAATATTTTGATTTAGTATTGAAGGGATAACTTTTTGTTCACTTTTAACTTCGCCGCTGATTGGCTTATTAGGTATCTGTGTATTTGCTCGAAACAAGGCTAACAAAGTACTTGGGTTCATACAAAGGATTATTAGTTACAAGACTAGCGAGGTCATCCTAAAACTATATCTAGCGCTTGTTAGACCTCACTTAGATTACGCAGTTCATTTCTGGTCACCGTACTACAGAATTCAGGGGAGAATGACAAGATTAATCCCGGGCATTAGGAACCTTGAGTACAGAGACAGCTTTAGGCATCTTAATTTGCACTTTCTCGAGAAACGTAGAGTGAGGGGCGACATGATCGAGGTGTATAAATGGAAGTCAGGGCTAAACAAAGTGATATAACAAAGGTACTCAAACTATCTAACCAGGAGCGAACTCGTAACAATGGTTTTACATTAGACAAATTTAGATTTAGGCACGAGATAGGTAAACACTGGTTTGGAAATAGAGTAGTGGATAAGTGGAACAAGTTACCAAACATCATCATTAACTCTAATACGCTGGATAGCTTCAAACAGAGGCTGGATGGATATATGAGCGATAGGGGTTGGGTGTAAATAGGACTGCTCAGTATGGGCCAATAGGCCCACTGCAGTTTCCCCCATTCTTATGTTCTTAACAACATATGAATGGAGGTAACAGCAGCGGGTCTATACTGGTCAGTCCCGTTTACACCCAACCCCTATCGCTCATATATCCATCCAGCCTCTGTTTGAAGCTATCCAGCGTATTAGAGTTAATGATGATATTTGGTAACTTGTTCCACTCATCCACTACTCTGTTTCCAAACCAGTTGGCACACTGTTGGCAAGTACTGACTTTCTGTTAGGCACTGTTGACAAGAACTGGCTCTCTGTTACACACTGTTGGCAAGTACTGGACACGTACTGGGTCTCTGTTACACACTGTTGGCAAGTACTGGGCATGTACTGGCTCCTGAATGTACCTGAACCTGCTCCAGTGTTGGTCAAGTCTGGTCTTGAAACAGCTCACACTCGGTGCCGTCACAACACTCTCTGGCAGGTTCCATGGAATATTAAATTTTGTTCAAGGTGAAATTTTTACTATAGTATAAGTAAATCAACTAATAAATTTATATATACAAGCTCCGGAATCACCAAAATGGCTATGGTGAGACAGAAGGAAGAGTTTTATTTCCCAGGGAGATATTTAGAAACTTCTCGTTCACAATGGCGTCATGACCATGGCTGAATCATGTTGTAACAAATACCACTAACTAGAATTTCCCGTTAGATACAAGTACACGTCACAATACGATCCATAATCACCCTATTATCGGTGAAGGTTCGTTTAGTATTGGGAATAGTTTGGTTTATCCTTCCTGAATTAAAGAACATCCACACGACACAGGGATCCGTAGATACTTTTCAACATTGGATCTGTCGACACGTAGTAAAACCAAAACACTTTTCCTTATTATTAAGAAAAATCTACTTCACTATTGATTAAACTCAACGATGAACACATTTCTCACCTGTATAGAACGTGGATAAGGATTTAATACGGTATTTGTGACGCTCTGGTACACGAAATAACCGATATTCCCAAGATATCCTCACGCCACAGGCTCTCTATACGTCTGTTCAATAACCCGGTCGACGGGACGGGGGCCACCACACGCCTCACACAGCCACCACCTCCTACCGTCCAATTCGGGATTTTAACCATTTAATTCTCCTTTACAACATCATTATATCAATTCTATACATCCTATCTTATGTGGTGATATAAAACATATATATTTTTTTTTATCTTCCTTAGGGTATATACTGTCGTTAGGTAATAAGTAATGATATAAGTTATGAGGTTTTGTGGCAATCATGTAGCCCTAAGATGGACAAAACGTTTCGTCCCCAGAGAAGGGACGCTTTTACTCGTCTCACTCAAGAATTTCTACTTCCTAAACTGAATTACACCATAACTAAACACTGTGAAACAAGTCTTCCCTTTAAGAAACCCTGAGTTAATTAGATATATGAAATAACTATAGAAATAGACCCACATTGACTTTCACTTCTAACTCGGCGAGGCTTCTAGGCCGTAATTTAAACCTGTATTTCAAACTTCAGTATAATATACAATATTATCGATACTTAATCACTTCTACAGAATATTAGTTAGTTATGGGGTTTATCTCCAATATTTCATTCATGATAGAATAGTTAACTAACTACCCTCGTTACGTGCTTAAAGACCTTGAAGTTCAGTATATATATTTTTTCACATAATAACAACATATACACTAGAGCAAATGTGAACTAATATAATGCATAAATGTGAATCAATACACGCGTGTGAGGCAGCGTCAACACCCATCACATCCAACTGCTCATGGTAACTAGCCACCTACGTTCAGTGATCTTGTAAATACGTCTAAAACGTATTGAAACGTAAATGATGGTGCAATAGTTCTCCTCAACCTAATGCGGGACATCACGTGTTCTCAGAATGTTACTGAAGGTTGGTTAACAATCCAGTGTTCAAAATGGAGTGGAAATAATACTTAGAGTAATTATTATTCAACATATTGTACTTTATTTACCTACGTGGGTCATGCCGAAGTTTCTTTGTTGGGATATATCAACTGTCTATGGCTATGTACGATGTATACTCATTCTATAGTTTACTCATCATTCTAGTTTACTCATTCTAGTTTACTCATTCTAGTTTATTCATCCTAGTTTACTCATACTAGTTTACTCATTCTAGTTTACTCATCATTCTAGTTTACTCATACTAGTTTACTCATTCTAGTTTACTCATCATTCTAGTTTATTCATCCTAGTCTACTCATTCTAGTTTACTCATCATTCTAGTTTATTCATCCTAGTTTACTCATTCTAGTTTACTCATCGTTGTAAACCGCTGATTACGGGATAAGTGTTCCAGCTAATATGAACTCAGTCACTTTCCGGTTTTGAAACAATATAATACCCAGAAATATTATATAAAAATTTTAACTCAGCACCGTACCTAAGTGACCAAAACGTATCATGCAAGTTAAACCATGATTGTTAATGTTAGATTGGCTTGTAAAGGTTAGGTTATGTTAATTTTTTAGTTGGTGTAATTAAACTAAGGTAGATTCTTAAGTTAGGTTAACCTTTACAAGCCTAAGTTAACCTAATCTCCCAGGTTCGATAACTTACATTGGATCTATCATGTTAGCTTTGGAGAGAAATATTAACAAGATTTAAGATATCCTGTTGGCAATGATACAGGCACTTGGGCTCTGAATTCTACGTCCATAACGTTTTAAGAACGTTTTAAAACACTACCTACGTCTCTCCCTCCACCATGCAAGATACGAAGCTGATGATACGTACAATAAACCACACAAGAATATACACGACTTGCACCTCAGACAAAGAACAGCAGAGTACGATCAATAAAACTCTCTACACATATGGATATAAACTAAAAGGTACAATAATTAGTTTATATACAGTACGATAGTGTGATAGTCGATAAGTTCTTTGTTTACTGAGATACGAGGAGCGACTGCGGAAATAATGCGCTTGTTTTAAATAGCTTAAAATTATTATCCACAAAACCTTTTATTAATCCTAACCACATTACAAAATATTATTACTACTACTACTACTAATAATACGTACACTCAAACTACCATCACCCAGTTCATCAACACACGGGACATTTGAGAAATTTCCATGTATTAAACCGCTAACAAAAGAACTTTATCTATCTATCTATGTATTATTATTATTATTATTATCACGTTTAAACAAAGAACACATACTTTCTCTAAATATTGTCCGTATAAATGTTTCGGCAGCTGGTATTTATGGAACGATACAAAGAACACGTATTAACAAAACGTTTCAGAGAGGTGAAATAGTGCTGCCTCATTTCCGGAGAACTGTTACCTGTACGACTGTTTGGGGTCTAATGCACACACAAAACGAGCATACAAACATACGTATCGAAGTCTTTAAACTGCTAGGAGAACATATGAGCACGGGGGTGGAGGAGAATGCAGTGGGAGCGGGTAAACAAAGTGAAAGGTTACAGGGAAATAGCAGGAATTATGACAAAACTAAATTAGGCAGGGAGTTAAAACCTATACGCGACAAAAAGAGGACTCAGAACACAACTAACTTAAATGTCTACTACGCTAACAGTAGGAGTATGAGAAACAAAATGTATGAAATTAGGGCGTTAGTTACAAGACTAGCGAGGTCATCCTAAACTATATCTTGCGCTTGTGAGACCTCACTTGGATTACGCAGTTCAAGTCTATAAATGGAAGTCAGGGCTAAACAAGGGGACATGACAAAGGTACTCAATCATCCAACCAGGAGCGAACTCGTAACAATGGTTTGGAATAGAGTAGTGGATGAATACACCAAACATCATCATTAACTCTAATACGCTGGATAGCTTCAAACAGAGGCTGGATGGATATATGAGCAATAGGGGTTGGGTGTAAACGGGACTGACCAGTATAGACCCGCTGCTGTTTCCTCCATTCTTATGTTCTTATGTGTATGTTTCTACAGGTTTTTGTGTTTAAACTTTATTTCTATTCATACATACAGTCTTGTAGCTTAATAGAAGTTAATAAACATCTCAAAATACTCAGTCGAGTGTCCTGACCTGGAGCTGGCGGACGCTCGCCCCACAAGGGGTCACAGCTCAAGGTTGAAGAAGCCACAAGTCCAGAAAACTGTGAGGGGCAAACTTTTTCGGAGGAGAATTGGAACTGTTGGAACAACCTGCCAGAGAGTGGTGTGACGGCACTGAGTGTGAGCTGTTTCAAGACCAGACTTGACCAACACTGGAGCAGGTTCAGGTATATTCAGGCCAGTACATGTCCAGTACTTGCCAACAGTGTGTAACAGAGTCAGTACATGCCCAGTACTTGTCAACAGTGTGTAACAGAGCCAGTACATGCCCAGTACTTGTTAACAGTGTGTAACAGAGAGTCAGTACATGCCCAGTACTGCCAAGTATAACAGAGAGCCAGTACTGCCAAGTGTGTAAGAGAGCCAGTACATGTCTAGTACCTGCCAACAGTAATTTCACTAGTACATCAACAATAAAAAAAATAGTTACTTAATTTACAACTCTAATGAACTCTCAGCGTCATCTTGTTAAACTATCGTCCACTGCTAGACGAATAATCACGTATCTTAAATTTTTCATTTATTTCTAAAATATAATTCCCAAATCAAAGTTTACCGCAGTATGCATCATATTGGTGAAAATATTTTAACTCCAGGTTGCAATGTAGCGCTGATGATACGGCAATAAATTCAACTTGTGTCACAATAAAGAAATAGCCAAGAGGAACCGTTGATTTGTCAGGAATACAAGGGCAGTCACGTGATTCAGCTGACGCGATATGACAAGACTAACAGGAAGTCATTCTTACACGCTATGAGAATTTGATACCATTATCCTCCATGCAGGTGAGGACGGAGAGAGAACTACGAAGGAAGTAAGATAAGATAAAGAGATAGAGAAATATGGAGGGCGAAGAGGATAAAGATAACAAAATTAACAGGATATTCTTTTGTTATGCCTTTCCCTGGCTCTCCTACCATCACCTTTACCCATTAATACTTACCATTATCCCCTGGCTCTCCTACCATCACCTTTACCCATTAATATCTCTACCATTATCCCCGGCTCTCCTACCTCATCACCTTTACCCATTAATATCTCTTACCATTATCCCTTGGCCTCCTCTACCATCACTCCTTTACTCCATTAATATCTCTACTCATTATCCCCCTGGCCTCCCACCATCACCTTTACTCCATTAATATCTCTACCATTATCCCTGGCTCTCCTACCCTTACCTTTTACTCCATTAATATCTCTCACTATTATCCCCTGGCTCTCCCACCATCACCTTTTACCCATTAATATCTCTACCATTATCCCCTGCCTCCTACCATCACCTTTTGGTACTCCATTAATATATCTACCATTATCCCCTGGCTCTCCCACCACCTTTACTCCATTAATATATCTACCATCATCCCTGGCTCTCCAACACCATCAATTTTACTCCATTAATATCTCTACCATTATCCCTGGCTCTCCTACCACTCACCTTTACCCATTAATATCTCTACCATTATCCCTGGCTCTCCCACCATCACCTTTTACCCATTAATATCTCTACCATTATCCCCTGGCTCTCCCACCATCACCTTTACTCATTAATATCTCTACCATTATCCCCTGGCTCTCCTACCATCACCTTTACCCATTAATATCTCTACCATTATCCCCCTGGCTCTCCTACCATCACCTTGGCTTCCATTAATATATATCTACCATCATCCCCTGGCTCTCCTACCATCACCTTTACCCATTAATATTCTACCATTATCCCTGGCTCTCCTACCATCAATTACCCATTAATATCTCTACCATTATCCCTGGCTCTCCTACCATCACCTTTACCCATTAACATCTCTACCATTATCCCCTGGCTCTCCTACCATCACCTTACCCATTAATATTCTACCATTATCCCCTCGGCCTCCCACCATCAGTCTTTACCCATTAATATCTCTACCATTGTCCTGGCTCTCCTACCATCACCTTTTTACCCCATTAATATATCTACCATTA